ACACAGCGCGCACGCGCAGTCTCTTTCAGCCCCTGAAGCGGGCGCGGAGTGGAGGTCACTCTGGCGTCCGCGAGTTTTGGTCTTTGTCGTTTAAACCTGAGCATCTGTGTCCACAGTCCTGCTCCTGTGAAGCCTGGGGTCGCGAGAGACCTTGAAATCCCCAAACCTGCGCCTCCAACAGGGGTAAGTCTCGCGTCCTGGCGAGAAGTCCCGATTCCGAGGACTTCGCTGCCGGGTCGAGTCCGCGTTAGTTTCTGGTTAAACTCTCTCCGAGTCGGCCTTGCCTGTGGTCTCTCCGCCTTCGGACCTTGGGACCGGCCCGCCGCGCAGTTTTCCTGCCTAAACCCTTCCCTGGCCAACGATCCCTCCCCAGCCCTTCAAGTCTTGGGGGATTGATTCACACCCCACGCCCCCTGCCACCTCGGCCCTGCAGTTTTCCGCGTGGCGAGGCCCCGATTCCTCCCTGGCCTGGGGTTCTGCAGACCTCTCCCCCAACTTCTCCGGAGACGCCCCCATCTCCAGTTTAATAAGTGAGAGTCCGCCTGCCAAGGAAGAGCACACTTGTCAGTGAGGCGGGGTTTAGGATTGATGGATACGGGGAGTCTGAAGAAGCGGTCACCTGCCCCAGGCGGTGAGTGCCTTTGTGGAAGCGGTGCCTGCGAAGGGGGAGGCAAGGAAAGAGGCCCAGCGCTGGAGAGAAGGGGGTCACGAGAAAGAGATAAGAAGAAAGAAGTAGAGCAGTGAGAGGGCACAAAGGTGAGTGAGGGGTCCTTAAAGGGACGGCAAAACTGAAGATGGGAGATGGCCTTGTAAAGCGACAGTAACTGGAAGAGTAACTTGGGAAAGAAAATAGAGAAACATGGAGGAGTGGGAGAAGCTGAGTGAGACGAAGGGCCTCAGAAAGGGAGAGGGGCTCTTGCTGAGCAAAAAGAAGTTAGGGCCACAAAGGGCAAGGCCCTTCAGACGAAGAGAGTTTGGAGAAAAAGGGACGGAGGAGCCCGGCGCAGTGACAGGAAAGGTAAGGCGTTAGGGATGGCAGAACCAAGGAAGGAACAGCACTGAGAGTTTAGCCAGGTGGGGGCGCCCGTGAGTCAGACAGAGGAGCGTGTAACTGGGAAGACAAGGTAGCTGGAAGCAGAGGGGACACAAGTGTGGGGCAGAAAGAGGCAGACATATATGGAGATGGAGAAAAATCAGAAAGATTAGGGAGAGAGTGCTGCTGAAGATGAGACAGGTTTTAGGAGTTTCGAGGAATGGAATAGAGAAAAGGGGAGAAAGATCAGGAGGGGCAGAGAGGGGAGCCCAGGTAAGGACAACAGTGGGAGAAACGGAGGAAAGAGACACCTAAACAGACTGACAGAGGGAAACACCTCCTAGTGGAGGAGGAAGGGAGCCGAGATCTGGAGCAGTGGAGATTTGATGGCATGTGCATGATTAAGTTCTGATCTGTTGACGTGTGGCTTTATAACTATTTAATTTAAAATTCGCCTAATTATTTCAATTATATAGATGAGAATGAGAGTTGAAAGACTCCAGTTTATAAGGCTCATGCATCTAATAATTATTTACATCACCAGATGGCTTCCTTTTGCAACCCTTACTCAGCCAGACAGGAGAGATTTGCCTCAGTCAGTCATGGGTCTCCTCTCCTTTCCAGGGATGGGATGAGAGAGGTGAACCGGGACGTGAAAAGACCAAATCTGTCACTCCATGACGCTTTTTCAAAAGAGACTAAAAGTATTGGTCTTTTATTACTCTGAAATAGATTTACTTTTTTCTTTCTACCTCTTACATCTATTCTGTGTTTTCAAAAGCATATTGAAATACATCTTTGTCTATTACATCTCTGCTTTTTTGTAGCCATTAACTTCTGAAATTAGCATTGATGATATCTCATCATTCTTTTCTATATGTGAGGTATCTTAAATGTAAAAAAAAAATAACCCTGGAAGTCATTATATTTTTTAAATAAAATTCCAGATCGTTTTCTCTTTTAAATACCTTGTGGCCAGTGTAGGTGATGAGCCAGTGCCTTCTTCCTCCTCTTTATCACATGTGGGGACACCCACTGCTACATAGTAAATAACATTAGGCTCTTCCAGTGTGTACGTGGTAAGGATGTGTCTGTTCCTAACAGAACCTAGTTTTAGTGACATAGTCAGATATCGAGCCACTTTCTTTCTTTCCTTCATATGACTTGTTAATTAGTAAGCTGTGAGCCTTGAAGATGTTGCTCTCAAGTGCCTGCTATCCATTCTCTGAGATGCTGAAAGATGGACAGGAAACTTTGTTCTAACAGAGCTCATCTATTCATAGTGAAGTATGCGATCAACACATTTTTATAGCTAACATTTTTTTTCAAAGTTTTCAGTGCCAGAATCTGTGTTCATCAGATTGTTCCCCTCCGGGGAACAGCTTCAAGCATGTGGGGAGAGTCACACATTAATGGGATTCAAGCTTAGAAAAATGCATCACTGTTGTCCCATATGATGACCCTCTGACCTTGCCTTTCAAATGAGGATAAGACCCAGCTCTCAGAGTTACTGGATGAATGTCAGTAGGGCATCTGGGAGGAGTGAGGACAAATTTCAGTGGTAGAGCTGCAATGCTGCTCTGCTTGGCACCATGGACAGGGCTGGGTGACGCAATATTCTCAAGAGCTGAAGGAGAACTCATAGTAGCCTGAGACCTGCTGGCTGGAAAAGCCCTGTGACTCAAGGAAAGGGGGTTGAATACGTGCGAGGGGCTTCAGACATCATTCAGTCATGATGTCAGCTGGTATCTTTCTATTGCACACAGAAAGCTGGATCTGGGAAAGCACATTTGTAGATTCTTTGTAGATTTACAATGAGCAGTTTTGGTTTAAATAAAAATAAAGGTATTAAAACAATTTCTTCTGATGAACATAATCTTTAATACAGGATTGGAAGCCTCAGTGTTTTTCCGCTGTGGTGGTGAATGGCAGTTACCAGCTGAGAGCTCCCTGGGACTTTCCCTCAGGTGAAAGGAGCTTCATTGCCAAGGTTACACCAGCTCCTAGAGGGCAGGTCAGAGAACTGGCTAAACTAGGAGTATGAAGGCTCAGGCTCCTCCCCTACATTTATGAAATTTTCAAAGACCATTCCCCGCAGGTCTCTGTGGAGCAGCCAAGCCTGGAGCCTGTATTGCAGTTCAGCAGGTCCCTCTCCTGCTCCTTCACTCCCCCAGGTATGTGGATCCTGACAGCCCCCCACAGTGAGCTTCCCACACTCTTATGTCCATTTAGAGTCTGCTTTTTTACACATTTACACAATGAACTACTACTTGGACATAAAAAAGAAGAAAATTTCACCCTTTGTGACAGCTTGGATGGATGTGTAAACATTATGCTAAGTGAAATAAGCCAGCCAGTGATAGGCAAGTGCCACATGATTTCACTCATACAAGGTTTGTCTGGAAAAAGTCCATCCATTGTTAATAGAATGAGAATGGTTTTTGTGACGTTGATGTTACCTGGCAGCCAAGGAGAGTGGACTGGAATGTGCATGTGTGAACAATGATAACTTCACTGTACTAGTCAGTGAGGGCGGTAGATGCCATTGAGTGAGCATGTGTACTGTGTGGCCATTGTACTCAAAATGAGCAAATAGATCAATGAATCTGCATCAAATTTTGCGTTAAGCTTGAACATTTCTCCACGGAAAGTATTTGGATGATTTAGAAGGCCACAGCTACGGGCAACTGGTGATTGGCAGCTTCATCATGACAAGATGCCTGCTCAGTTTTGGCGAAACATCAAATCAACCAGGTGACTCAGCCCTACCAGCCCAGATTTGGTGCCCTGCGACTTCCAGCTTTTCCCAAAAGTAAAATCACCTTTGAAAGGGAAGAGACTTCAGACTATTAGCTGAGCTGACATTTCAGTATCCCAAGAAGAAGGTCTTGGTCAGCGCCCAGTTGCAGGCTGATTGGAATCTAGATCAGCAGGCAGCAGCTGTTCAAGTATGCATGCAGACCCTTGTCATGTAAAGACTGGGGGACTGGTGCTTCTGACTGCTGTCTCAGAGCGAAGCCTTTGGAGTGTAGCCAGTTGAGGACTGTTCTTTTTTGTCTTATACCAGCCTATGGGACCCACTAACACAAGCCCCACGGCCACCAGAGCCAGGCCATCAGTGGCTGCATCCCCTGAGCAGCCACAAGAGCCAAAGGACCAGACATGTATGTGCACAGGCTCCTTCAGGGGGACACCAGGACCAGGCGTGCAGCAGAGGGAATGTGAAGATGATACTGCTCAGCTCCCTGCTGTCTGGAGAGGACTGTTGGCCTTCGATGTGGGTTAAATTGGGAGCCTGGCCCTCAGACACAGCTTTTATGAAAACCAAACAGGCCTCTGTGAAGGAAAGACTGGCAGATGGGCATTTCTCTCTGCTGCCTCCGTGCTGAGCCAGCCCTGGCAGGTAGCTACAGTGGGCCCTCACAGGTCACTGAGAACTGCTTCTTGTTTCCTGGAGTGCTTGGGTCTGGAGGCCTCACGCTGATTGGCTCTCAGAGCTCCTTTCTTGGGAACTCAATCTCAGGGGGAAGTTTAACACTGGGATTGCTAGGCATTGGGTCCAAGTCCTGCTCCTCAAGGAGAAGCTGTGAATTGTGAGTCTCTTCCATTCGTAGGTCCCTGTGCTGAGGGTGGGGTTTATGGTGAGGTTATGTCTCATTCTCTTCTATTTGTTTAGATGTGAGGAGGGTTTTTTTTTTTTTGGTGTCTGTGCGTGGGAGTCTCAAATAATTTTTGGATGTCTTTCACAGAGAATTGCTCTCTTAGTAACAATGAGTCTCTGAATCAATGAGTCTCTGAATCAATGTGCTTTCTAAGTGATAATCTCGAACCATTGGGGTTTGTTATAAAAGGCAAAAAACTTATTTTTCCCAATTTATTATGTAGCCCACAAAGTCAGCCAGTCTGATTCCTGATGCTCACAGAGAAACCAAAGTTTGAGGCAATAGGGTCTCATAGAGAAAAGTTTTATTCGTCCATTTTCCAAAGCAGGAACCAGGAGACCAGAGACAGGGCTCGGGTCAGTCCCCTCCCACACCTAGGAATAAAGATTTAGAGCGAATTTAAATTATAGTGGTAAAAAGCATGCATATTTATTCATTTTAACCAAGAGTACTGATTGGACATCTTGGAACAAAGTTATCTAAGGTAAGGCATGGGGAAGATGAGAGAATGTATAAGGAATTCCTAGTGGGCAGGGTCTGAGTGGGTGAGATCTGGGGGCCTGGCCGACTAAACTGCTGGACCTTCCTCGCTTTGGGTGCTGTCTGGGAGGATCAGGTCTGTACACAGAGTTTTCAGCTTGGGGGGAATTTGGGTTTTGGCCTCTCTTCAGTGTTAGTTGGAGTTCATTTGCTGGCTTTCTGCACCTGCCAGTGTTTCTGAGACCAGCCGGACTTGGTTCGGGCTGGTGCATCCTGAGGCTCTGTGAGGGGGCCTGCTGTTATCTCCTGAAAGGAAAAATCAAAAACGAAACCAAAACTATTAGATCTGGTTCTAGTGTTAGAGCCAGGTTTCCATTACTTTAAAGTTTCCTTAAGTTTGCCCTCATGCTAGCAAGCGTGTCCCCAACTTGGAAGCAAATGTTGTTCTTGCTGCCTTTAAAGAGATTCTTGGATCCAGGTGCCAGCCTTTGAGTGCAGAAAGTTTTCCCAGAAAAGACTGAGAACACCTTCAGGCAGCCAGGCTCAGGAATTCTCAACTAAGGGTTGGAATTCTCAACTAACTTAAAGTTACAGTTCCACAGTTTCATAGTGTCTTTAAAGCACAAACAAAAAGAGTTTTTAAAAGATATATCCACAACTATCAACAACTGAACCTGAAAAACAAAGAAAAAACTAAGCAAACAACTAGAATAGGAATAGAATCACAGAAATGGAGATTGTACAGAGGGTTGTCAGTAGGGAGGGAGAAGGGGAGAATAGGGGAGAAGGTACAGGGAATAAGAAGCATAAATGGTAGGTAGAAAATAGACGGGGAAGTTAAGAATAGTGTGAGAAATGGAGAAGCCAAAGTACTTATATGTATGACACATGGACATGAACTAAGCGGAGGGGATGCTGGAGGGGAGGGGCACGTACTGCAGGGAGGAGGGGGATAAAGGGTAGAAGAAAAATTGGGACAAATGTAATAGCATAATTAATAAAATAAACTTAAAATATATATATATCCATTATTGAACCAATGCCAATAGTAATGAGACCATCACAGTTCACTGTGTCAAATTGTACAACTTGGTCACAATGTTGGTTTTCCTTCCCCCAGCTTCTAGGTCGGTGGCCATGGGTAAAGGTCTGATTGCATTAATGTCCCTGTCCCTTCCATGTTCTCAATTCCCAGCTTCCCATATTTTCCTCCAACCACGTGTAAGTCATGCACATGCGGCAACAGGGGAGTGGACACTGTGGGAGTCAGAGTGTGCTTCTGAGAGGACCACGTGTGAAGACGCAGCTCTGGGGGAAGCACGGACTGTGGGAAGGAGCAGCAGGAGCCCAAGTCTGGGATGGGGGAGGCATTTGGAGCAGAGTCTGTAGAAGCTTAAGGTCAACCTTTTCTCTTAGGCTGGCCCCTCATGGAAGGAGGGGGACCGCAGAGTATGATGGTGTCACATAGCAGGAGAGAAATAAAAAAGCACTGTGGCAAATATATTTACATTTAATTATCTGCTCATCACTCAAGAAATGTTCCCTGCATGTCCCTGTGTCCTGGGCTGTCCTTCTCCTGGGATGTCTGTCGTGAGAGGACAGGAAGTCCCAGAGGCAGGACTGTGCCCCGTCAGCCTTCCTCCCAGGTCCTGATCATCTTTCCCGTCCCTTCTGCTCTGTCACCCACAGTGTCAGAGCTGGAACAGGCCTCAGAGCAGCTGATCCAAGACTTCTCAACAGTATTCTGAAATGTGGGTTCTTTGGGCCGAAGCAGCCCTAGTGATCAAATAATCTAGAGGCGGTCTCCAAGGGAACCACCCACTCAGCAGCTTCTCATTCAGCTCCCTCTGCCCACTTCTTCTACAAAAGCCCCAGGAATGTGTGGAAATCCTTAAAAACCCTTAAGTCAGCCAACTTCCTAAAGGACCCCTCACACTCCCCAGGATGTGGGACCCTCTGAGAGGGAACTCTGAAATTCCTGAGGGTATTGATGGAGGTATGTCATGTTCTCCTTACTCCATGTTGCCCCTGACCATGTGTAATCTGCAGGCTGGCTCCTCTTGTTGACCTTGGCCCTTCTGGGACTGACCTTGGCCAGCCCTCCATCCCCAACAACTTACGGTCAGGCTCTCCAGTTTATGTGGGCACAGATGGAGAGGACACCAATCTCCAGCAGCACCTTGATGCCTAGGAGGACAGCTATGAATAACTGAGTGGATAGCACTGGATCTGAAAATCAAGAAACAGGAGAAGACATTACAGGGGACCATTCCCAGGGTCCTCCACTTACTCCATCTGTGGCTGCACCACCAACACTCTAAATCTTTTGAATCCTGCTCTGGTGTCAAGCTCAAGGCAGAAATCAGGTTATAAATGTTCCTCATCCGGACTTCCGCCAAGATGGAGGTTTAGCTGGATGTGCCTGCCTCCTCACACAACCAAGTTTAGGGACAACTAAATATTAGCATCACAAAACACAACCAGAACACGGAAAACTGAACTTTTCGGAAGTCCGCTAACAACAAATTCTTCAGCCTGACCGGTAAGGGGCGAAACCGGCGTCGGGTGAGGACTTACAAAGGAGGGCTCGGGACCGGGCGTGCGAATCCAGTCGCGCGGGTTCCAAACCCAGGATTGGACCTGGTGAGCCGCCGAGCAGCCCACCGGGGGAGCGACACAGTGGGGAGGCGGTGGCAACGAGTTGACTGTGGTTGCCTGGTTGCGCGCGAGTGAGGGAGTGAGCGGTTGGACCGGCCCGGCGGCAGCGGCGCGCCATTTCCCGCTCTGACCACACCCCCACATACAGCGTCACAACCCAGCGACCTGGGACTCCAAGGCGCCGCTTGTCCCACTTAAAGGGCCAGAACAGACCAAAAATGTCGCAGGCAGAACTCAAAGCCCCAGAGATAAATCTAAATGATGAAGAAATAGCAAAACTCTCAGACGCACAGTTTAAAACACTGGTCATCACCTTCCTCACAGATTTGGTGGATTACAGCCACAAATTAGAGAAACATATGGAGGCTAAATTAAGGAAATGAATGGAATTCCACAGGAATCCCATAGAGATGAAAAGGAAACTGGGACTCAAATCAATGCAGTGGACCAGAAGAAAGCAAATAATGGACAAACAGAAAAGAGTCAAGGAGCAAGAATTCAAAGAAATGAGGAGAGTCTTAGGAACCTCCAGGACATCTTTAAACGCTCCAATATCCGAATTATAGGGGTACCAGAAGGGGGAAAGACACAACCACCAGTGGAAAAACTATTTGAACAAATAATAAAAGAAAATTTCCCCAATCTGGCAAAGGAAATAGACTTCCAAGAAATCCAAGAAGCCCAGAGAGTACCAAAAAAGTTGGACTCAAGAAGAAACACACCAAGGCATATTATAATTACATTAGCCAAAATTAAAATTAAGGAAAGAATCCTGGAAGCAGCAAGAGCTAAGGGGACAATCACCTACAAAGGAGTCCCCATCAGGCTGTCAGCAGATTTCTCAAAAGAGACCTTACAGGCAAGAAGGGGCTGGAAAGAAATATTCCAAGTCATGAAATCTAAAGACCTACAACCAAGATTGCTCTACCCAGCAAAACTCTCATTTAGAATGGAAGGACAGATAAGGTGCTTCTCAGATAAGACCAAATTCAAGGAGTTCATCATCACCAAGCCCTTATTATATGAAATGTTAAAGGGACTTATCTAAGAAAAAGAAGATAAGAAACATGAACAGTGAAAGGACAACAAACTCACAGTTATTAACAACCACACCTAAAACGAAAGCAAACTAAAAGGACAGCTAGAGCAGGAGTGGAAACATAGAAATGAAGATCTCAAGGAGGGTTAGCAACAGGGGGAATGGGAGGAGGAGATGGGGGGAGAAGGTACAGAAAACAGGTAGCATAGACAGTAGATAGAAAATAGATGGGGGGGCGAGAATAGTTTGGGAAATATAGAACCTAAAGGACTTGAGACACATGGACATAAACTAAAGGGGGGTAATGGTGGGGTTGGGGGGGCAGGGTGGAGGGGAATGGAGGGGGGAATAGAACAACTGTAACAGCATAATCAATTCAAAAAAATAAATAAATTTAATAAAAAAAAAAAAAAAATGTTCCTCATCCTTAATCACCCCCTTCTCAGCTTACCAGGGTTGTCTTCCTTGAGGATATGGGTGAAGAGAATGTGCACTTAATGACATGTAAGGGTGGCACCTGATTAACTAATTCAGTCCTCTCGCCTCTATGGAGAAGTTATGTTCATTTTGATAAGGAAACTGATGCTCAGAGAGTGAGGGGGTTTCAAATTTAGTGGGATTCAAACCTAGAAAATGACATCACAGTTGTTTGATACGATGACCCTATGACTTGTCTTTGAGTGAGGACAGTCCAACCTCTCACAGGTACAGAAACAAGTGTCAACAGATCAATTGAGTGGAGTGAGGACAGATTTCACAGTGAGAGAGCTGCAGTGCTGCTCTCTGGCACCATGGACAGGGCTGGGTGACCCATGTCCTCAGGAGCAGACAGAGGACGCACAGGCCTGCTCTCATGAGACCTGCTGGCTGGAAATACTCAGTGACTCAAGACATGGGGTCATGTGCTTTGGAGGAGCTGACACACATTCAGCCAGCCTTGACCCCAGCGCTCAGGTCACCTGAAATCTCTCATTTGGACCCAGAAAATCAGATCTGGAAAACTTTTAGATTCTTTGCAGATTTACAATGAGCCAGTTTTATTTAAATATAAAAAGATATTAAACAGTTTATTATAATGATAATAATCCTTAATGTAGGACTGAGGAATTCACCATATTTCCTGTGGGAAGGTGGAGAATGGCAATTCTCAGCTGAGAGGCTCTCTGGGACATTCCCTCAGGTGAAGGGAGCTTCATTGTAAGTTTGCATGGCACTCCCCCCCCCCCCCAGCCCCCAGAGGACAGCCTGGGTCAGAGGACTGGCTGGACCGGCAGTATGAAGGTTCAGCCTCCTTCTCTCCATGTAAACAGCTCTTAGAGACTCTTCTTCTGTCCAGCTCTCTGTGGAGTGGCCAAGTCTGGAGCCTGCATTGCAGTTCAGCAGCTCCTTTTGCTGCTCCTTCACTCCCTCAGGCATGCGGATCCTGACAGCCCCCCACAGCGAGCTTCCCACACTCTTATGTCCATTTAGAGTCTGCTTCCAAGCATAACTGATCTATAGAACTTTGGGAGTCCTCTGGAAAGCAAACTCTAAAATGCAAATTAGAAACCAGATTATCCACCATCTGGCTGGTCAAGAGGACCCCAGACTGGTGGGACATATAGCAGGGGTCTGCTCCAATTTGCACTATTGGTGCAAGTGTTAAAATTTTCACTGGTGGTGAGCTGGGATGGTGTAACCAGAGGAAGGAATGTGTTGACATCAGTTATTAAAAAATTAGTTGAGAAGTGGTAAGTGTAAGGAATATGCACTTGGATGGCTGTTGCCAGGACATCAATCCTTGGAGAAAGACTGTGAAAAGTTTAGACTGATTAATTATAAGGTAAAGTGTGAGCCAGAAGAGTTCTAGGTGGCACTGTAGGCTCTTTTCTTCTAGAGCCAGAGGGAAGAAAAAGCTGACATTTGGGCCAAGGACACAATTTAAGGAATAGCAGAGCGACAGAAAAGGTTGAATTCTCCACTTCAATGGTCCTACTCCAAGATTAGGACCCTGATGAGGAAATACGTGGCCCTGAGATCAGGACTTACGGGCTAAATTGTAGGAAAAGGCTTCAAAGTGAGTCTGTTCAAAGGGGTTGGCACAGAGCCCCCATGATCTGTGAATATGTTACCTTACCTGGCAAAAGGGACTAGTTATAGTGATTAAGTGAAAAAGTGAAATGAGGATTTTTTTTGGGGGGGGGGTCCTTTAAGTGGAGTCAACGTACTGACGGATCCTACTAAGTGAAAGTGGGGGCAGATCAGCCAGAGAGGAAGATGTGATGACAGGGACAGAGCTTGAGTGCTGTGGGGCCTCAGCTGAGGGTGTGGGCAACCTCCAGGGCTGCAAAGGCAAGGACCCGGATTCTCCCCCAGAGCCTCCAGGGGGAGCCCAGTCCTGCCAACCCACTGCAGACCTCTGACCTCTAGAACCCAAGAAAATAAACTTGCGGTGTTTTAAGACACTTACTGTGTGGTAATTGGTTTCAGTGGCCACAGAAATATAATACAAGGAGACAGGGACATTTTAAAAGGACAGATGTGATTGAAGGGACAGGCACAATTTAAAGAGCATAACTTCTGTGGGAATAAAGGGAAAATGGGCTAATTGCTAAATAAGTGTTAAAGGGAAAGGAAATGGTGATGGTGAGTAAGGTAGGGTTGTGAAAGACAAGAAAGAACTCAAATTTTGAGGACTCAAAATTTTTTTTCACTATTGAAAAAGTCATTTAGCCAAAAAATATATTGGCATGCCTGACTATGCTGTACAGACAGAGGGGAGGTTCATTCATCTAGAAGTAGTGTAAATAGCCCAGCACCATAATCATGATCAAAATGATGTGCATGACTACACCAGACCCACCGGACCGTTCATGCAGTGAGGTGGGACCGTTCATGCAGGACCCTCAGACACCAGTCTTTTGCCCCACCAGTGAGGTGGGGCATCCTGGTACAGAGCGGTATAGAGGCCTCTTGCGCTTTGCTTTACCTTGCCAGCTCAGACAACTTAACACAATCAGTTCCAGGAGTGGTACTGAGTACTCAGTGCTCTGTGTCAGGCACACTGAGTGCTCCAGGAAGTAGCAGCCCAGTCTGATCCCGAACCCAGGACCGAGACTAAAATGAGAATGCAAGCTGGTCCAGCCAAGGCGGAGGAAACTCATCTCCCGCTTTCCTGTTCAGTACTATTCTGGCCCCTAGAAATTGCATCAGGCACAAACAATGGGGGACACTGAGAGACGGAAGAGAAAGGCTCCCTGGCTCCCGACCTGAGGTCTGGAGGAAAAATGCGGCCATGCCTACAAGGGGGCATTGTAGTTTGCCCTGCCCCCAATTCCTCAGGCACAAAAGCTGACTCGGTTGTGGCATTAGCAAAAACAAAAAGTCTAAAATCAGTTATCTAAGGTCCCATCTTAACAAATGAGGAAAGGTAGAACTGAATCAACTGAAAGCAAGCAGAAGGAAGGAGATATAACAGGAAAAAGGAGAAAAATCGAGTTGACTATCAGCAAAATGGGAATAAAGGGAACATATCTCAACATAATAAAGACCATACATGACAAACAATGAGCATTGGTGAGGACATGGAGAAAGGGACGCCTTGCACACTGTTGGTGGGAATGCTGATTGGTGCAGCCACAGTGGAACGTAGTATGAAGGTTCCTCCCAGAAATAAAAAGTGGAATTCCTATGACCCAGCAATCTCCCTTATGGGAATAAAACACCAATTTGAAAGAGTGTGTGCAACCCTATGTTTACTACAGTGTCATTTACAAGAGCCAAGCTGTGGAAGCAACCCAAGAGCCTATCAAGAGACGAGTGGATAAAAAAGCAGTGGTACGTATATACAATGGAATATTCCTTGGGCATGAAGAAGAGAAATCTTACCATTTACAACAGCGCAGATGGACCTGGAGGGCATTATGCTAAGTGAAATAAGTGAGGCAGAGAAAGATAAATACCATATGATCTCACTCATATGTGGAATCTGAAGAACAATAGGAATGAACAAACAAAAGAGAAGCAGACGCATAGATACAGAGTGGACTGACGGTTTACAGAGGAGGGGGGTAATTCAGAGACTTGCTATAAAAGGTCAAGGTAATAAGAAGTATAGATGGGCGGTTACAGAATGATCATGGGAATATAAAGTGCAGCACAGGGAACATAGCAGTGTTGTAGTGACGACGGTGGTGCTGGTCAGGTGCTGAGAACAGGAAGGGACATTTTGTAAAGTGTGTGATTGCCTAACCACTATGCCATTCACTTAAAACTAGTAAAAGATAAAACTGAATATAAAATGAAAGTAAAATAATACAAAAATTTAAAAATAAACCAATAAAATTGAAGAGAGAAAACAATGGAGACAATTAATAAAACAAAAAGTGAGTGCTTTGAAATGATCGACATGAAAAGCTTGTAGCGAACCTGACAAAGAGTAATAGATAAATGACACAGTTCCAATGTCGGGAGTGACCCGGGCTGGGGTACGGGTCGTACAGACATCAGAAGGATAATGAGAGGATATTATGAACAATGCAACAGGCAGACATTTGACAACTTAGAAAAAAAGGACCATGTTTCTGTAAAAGCAAAAGTTACCACAATTCAGCCAATACAAAATGAATAATGTGAATACCCCTGAACTATTTTAAGGAAATTGACACAGTTGAAAATTCCCCCTCAAAACTGTCCAGGCCCAGATGGTTTCACAGAAAAATTTTACTAAGCATTTATATTCGACTTGAAACCAATTTTGGAGCACCAGTGAACAGCTACAGAAGAAATTTGGAAAGTTTCAATATATGCTCTACTTTAGATGCCCTTAGGGAATAACTGTGGATTTGATTGTGTATAATGGTGTCGGTTTTGTGGGAAACCCAGGTCTTTAAGGGTACCACCACACCAGTACGGGCTTTACTTGCAAATTGATGTGCATACACGACTAAGTTATTAGGAAACGCATTTATGCAACTCCTGTGTATCTCTTCTTTTCTTTAAGATTTTATTTATTTTTAGAGAGAGGGGAAGGGAGGGAGAAGGAGAGGGAGAAAAACATCAAGGTGTGAGAGATACATCCGTTGGTTGCCTCTCACGCGCCCTCTATTGGGGACCTGGCCCACAACCCAGGCCTGTGCCCTGACTGGGAGTTGAACAGACAACCTTTTGGTTTGCAGGCCAGCACTCAATCCACTGAGCCACACCACCCAAGGCTGTATATCTCTCCTTTTCAGGGAAATTGTCATCCCCTCCCCACATTTACTCTTCCAGCCGGCAGGGATGTAACACTCAGTGACTGAGCATTGATGCAGTGGGTGAGGACAATGCCAGTGGGCTTGGGAGGAACGTGGGCTCTGGAAAGGTCTTCTGGAGTGAAGACTTTCAGGAACTTGACCCAGTCCCCTCCTGATGGTCCATGAGAAAGAAATTAGACACATTTTCTTCATAGAAGAGGAGACTCTCTAGGCCCTGTGATGATGCCTAGATGAAGGGGGACATGTCCCTAATTATCACGTATTTGTTGTACAGGCTGGTGGGCCCTGTCCTCAGGGTCTCAGATGACCTTGATTGGTTTAGCCCCAATCACCTGGCTTTCTGACCAGAAGTCTTCCCAACATACCTCCATCACTTCTTGAGTCCCTTCTGTGAAACTCCAAACCGACAGGGTGGTCGACAGGAAAGAACATTATAGAGGGACTGAAATTTGTTTGTAGAAAATGTTCAGTAGGCGGTTGGGATTTTGCTGGTTCACTGTCATAAATGGGGGCAGAAGGAGGCCCAGGCTGTGACCACTCAGCCACCTGAGTGTATGGTCTGGATGGGAAAGCCTAGGATGAACTGGAGAGCACTTAATTATCCCATCAGCCATGCAGGTAGGGGGTGGTAGTACCCTTACCCCCTTCCGGCCCCCTGCCTAGGGGCTAGGAATTTAGTCTGGACAGGTAAGAGGAAAGCAAAAGTTTGCCAGGGGTTCCTGCGAATATTATTTCTCCCTGAGGCCGGCTTGCCACCCTGGCAGGTGTCTGTTCCCACCTCGACAGCGGTCCCCTGAAGAGGTGAGGCCTGGGGCAGAGGTGGCCATCTTGCACCCATGGGGGCAAAGCCCTGGAGGGACCCACCCAGGTTGCAGCCTGGTGAGCCTGTCCCGCCAGCCAGGGCACTGCTGCCTCTGGGCTCCTTTCTCATGACTGCCAGTAACCGGACAGCCTCCCGGCCTGAGCCAGGAGGATCCCAAAGCGCTCCTGTGGCCTCTGCCCCTGGCAAGGACAGCCCGGGGCAAACTTTAGGGGAGGAAGCAGGGAATCCACTCACCTTTCTTCTGTCGGATCCGCAGGAGGTAGAGGGCGGCAATCAGCAGGGCCACCAGCAAGGCACACACCACGCCCACCACGATGAAGATATTATTCAAGTTGGGACTTTTGTCTACAGACAAGGAAGAATGGAGCCTTCATGTATGCAAATTACAAACAAAGTCGCTACCCAGTGCCTCTGTTGACACTAGACAGCATCATTAACTGAGAACCTGGCTGGGTCTTCTCGGATGTCCTGAGCCACCTGGGCACGTTCACGGTTCTGCACCCACGTCCCCAGGAGGGTGAACCGCGGCAGCACACAAACCACACCGAGGTGCCAGGAGGGAAACTGGTGCTGAAGCCAGAGTGGAAACCAGGCTGCAGGTCGTGGGCACGGACGGCACTCCTGAGGGACAGAGACACGCTCTCCCTCATCTGAGTGAACCAGGGTGGCCATGTGTTGACACGGGTCCATTGGAACTCAGTCACAACAGGGACAGTGAGGAGGGGCAGACATGCAGGTGACTAGTGGGCTCTGGAGACCTCTCAGGGTCCGTCCACAGACTTGCGCCCGGGACCTGGGTGAAGGGGCTCTGACCCCAGGACACTTGAAATGAAGGCAAGGCCTTGGCTGGGCCCACGGCCACAGAGGGAACCCCACCCTGGAGCACAGCGGGTCGTCGGGGCCGGGCTGAGCTGCAGGCACGTGTGCTCAGAGCAGCACCCATAGTTGTGTGGCCTCGAGCAAGTCACTTAGACCTCCACACTCGGGCTTCCCCCTGTTCCCTGAGGCCAAGAACAACCTTCACTACCTCGGATAGCTCTGGGGACAACTCAGTGACTGACCGAACAGCCAACTCTCTCATCCTTTCTGAAGGTATTACTTCCTGAATGCCTACTGTGTGCCAGGCTGTGTCAGGACCTGAAGCCACATTGCCATGGTTCCCAGCAGCTGGGACTCAAAGGTAGGGTCACAAAGCTCCTCTCCTTCAGCACGGCCATGTGAAAGCAGAGGGGCCCCGAGAGAGGCACTGACTTGTCCACAGTCACCAGCAGGTCTGTGACAGAGCCAGAGGTTTATCTGCACATCCTGTGTCCCAGTGCAGTGCTCACCCTATGAAAGCCAGGCCTCAGTGACACCGAAGGGACACCTTGACAGGGTCACAGGACTTCTTTAGAGCCCTCTGTCCCCTTGACGGATGCACGGAGAAAAGAAATGGCCTCTATTCTATCCACTCAAAGGGTCTGCTATGGAGAAGACATAGCCATGCTCACCACAGATGACAAAACCTTCCACAGTGGCACCGAAATTCCAACCAGGTGCTGCCATTTGACAAAACAGAGACACATGACAGCACACTGGAAGGGGCTGAGAAAGTGACACCCTGCGCTCCCCCATGAAGAGACACATTACCATCACCTACACGAGCATGCACTTTGTCCTAGAAACAAGCTTTGGAAAACCGTCCCACGGAGACAGCTGCACACGTGACAGAATATGTACAGGGACACTGATCACAGCGGGGGGGATTATACCTGGGAAAAAACGCACAAATCCTAAGCCTCGCCCACTCCCTTTCGGGGCGGGGCCGGGGAGGGCGGCTGGCTCTCAAGGGCAGCCAGGGAGTCCAGGGAGATGAGAGAGCGAGGAGGGGGCGGAGCAGAAGGGGGCGGGGCCAAGGTGGATGGTGCTCTGGAGAACTGCTGGGTGAAGACAGCAGGAGGGCAGGGAACAGGATGGTCCCCCTCTGTCCCACCCTCTTTCTTTAACGTATGTATACTGATGTCAAAAGATCTACGAAGACATGTACCAAACTCCTGCCAGTGCTGACTTTGGGGTTTGGGGAAGGGGAGCTCACTTCAAAATTCTACTTTCTATCTACAGACTTCTAGATTGTTCTGTATGTAGTAAGCACGAATGAATACTTGTATCATTAAAAATGATAAAATTTAAACAGAGCTGGTCAGTTGGAGTGGAGGCCTCACCAAAGGGTCCATCTGTGCTCTGGTCCTTCGGGTTAGCGGGGGCCTCCAGGGTGAGGTTCCTGCTGACGGCCGGCTGCCCATCGTGCTGCACCAGACAGGTGAGCACCACGGCCTCCCCGCGGGCAGACGAGTTCACCAGCATCCAGCTCCCCCAGGTGAAGGTCCCATCCTTGTTCTCTACTCGAGTTAAGGGTGTTTCTGTTCGGGACATTTTTCCGTTCTTCAACCAGGTCAGCTGTAGGTTCTGGGGGTAGAAGTTCTTCACCTGGCAGGTGACGTTCACCTGGTTCTCTGACATGGCGTGTCTAACCTCCAAGGTGGGCGGAACTGAAACAGCACAGGGCAGAGGCTCTGACCTTGTGGACACACAGATCACAGAGGAGGGCCCCATAACGTAGCTCCCCCATCACAGCAAGGGGTAATTCAGGACAGCGCTAACTAGGCAGCAGCTGCTCAGAACTCACGGCTTGCTTTTCATGTGAAAGAAATCACTAAGCACAGCACCCTGCACACAGTAGGTGCTCAGAAACTGGGAGCTGCTATCAGGGTAATAAGAGTGAAATCACCAAGCACAGCTGTGGCATGCAGCTGGAACATAATCACTGGAGCAAAATAAGTGAAAACACCAAGCGCGTAGTGGCCAGGTAAACAGTAGGTGCCCAGTTATTGGAGTTGCTCTTGGTAAAGCAGGTAAAACTACCAAGCAGAGTGGCAGGCATTCCCCTGGTCACTGCCATTAAACAGTGGTGAGTGACAGGCACCTCCAGGGCCTGGTGATGGGAAGGACTGTCAGGAATTACATTCCAGGGAAATCACACTCTGGAGCAAATGGCAGGGGGAGGCACAGGCTTGGAGGGTAGGAGCCAGGTGCGGGCTCGGGCTGGGTGTGAGGGCATCTACCTCGGATGATCTCAGACAGGTTGGCAGTCCCACGAAGAGGAGGGCCCCCCTTCAGGGTGATGTGTTCCACCTGGCAGATGACCTGGGAGCAGATATCCCCCCTGGCCAGCCGCACCGAGGCTGTGCTGGAGATGTTGTAGGGAGGGCTGTCTCCCTCTGGGTCCACAGTGGTCTGGGAGGCTGGGAGCTCGTTCCCATCTTTGAACCATCTCAGGATGACGTTCCTGGGGGAGAAGCCGTGGGACTCGCAGGTGAAGCTCACTGTCTGCCCAGGTGTGGCCCTCTCCGTGGGGGCTGACACCACGGGGGGAGAGGGTTGGGCTGTAAAAGGAGCACAATGAACAATGAACATGACTGTGATCATCACCACCAATGACAAGCATGTGACATTGTCAAGAACCTTCTCATATATTATTTTTATCCTCTAACAATACTAGGAGGGTGCATCATCATCCTTATCTTACAGAGCAGGACCTCAGGTCACCAGAGGTGAACCCTGAGTGAGAGGCAGGACCCACAAGCAGCTCCAGGCCTGAGTTCAAAGGGCACCTTCCTTCCTCATCAGGTGACGCCCCTCCTGTCTGGGCTCGGGAACAACAGTACTGAGCCCTCTCCCTCTTCCTATTAACTCTCCCGTCTCGCCCCGCTGACACCTTCCTGACCTCACAGAAAGCCTACACAGAGTAAATGCGGGGGAAGCCGTGGGTGACCCGGGACCCCATGGAGTGGAACCAGGCTGGCAGGCACAGAGAGGTGCAGCCAGGGCACATCCCAGTTCCGTCTGAGAGCGGACAGCAGTCACTTCTCCTTCCCAGGCTGCAGGGAGGGTTGAATTGGGCAGTGGAAGTTGTTTTGCTTTGAGGGAACAGAAGATGCTTCACAAAAGTAAACACGAGTGTATTTTGAACCTGGACTGAATTTATATGCAGAACTCTTCCTTCGGGTGTTTATGAGTTTACTCCAAAGTTTTCATTGTATCTACAAACAGTCCAGCAGGGTCTCGTCTGTGCCAATCCCTGAATTTCAAATGGAGGTGGGATGTTTTTCTGAATTAGGGTTCTTCTCTTGGGTCCATTTTGGGTTGAAAACAAAGATCACTGAGTGCTGAGAAAGCCAAGTGTGGTCAGTTTTACTGATTGATTTATTGAATTTATTGTGGTGACATTAGTTAGTAAAATTATATAGCTTTCAGATGTACAGTTCTGCATACGTCATCTCTACATTGTAGTGTGTGTTCACCACCCCAACTCAAGTCCCCTTCCATCACTATTTGTCTCCCCATCTCCCTCTGCTGGTCACCATTTGTCGTCTGTGTCTGTGAGTCTTTTTCTGTTTTTTTCTTTGTTTAACCCCTTCACCTTTCACCCAGCCCCGCAATCCACCTCCCCTCAGACTAATTTTCTTAATCATTAGTAAAGTAGAAGGAACACAGACACAGGCCCACAAAGCAGCCAGGGCTCCTCCTTTGTCCTGAAAGCATCCACACACCAGCAGTAAATCTACAGCAAAGGCTGTAGTTCCTCCCTGTGGCAGGTCTGCAGGGTGTCTCCACATGGTTAATCACTTCCAACACCTTCTCTAACAGGGGGCGCACATCAAATATGAAAAAGTGTTTGCATTTGTAAATATCTGCCTTGCTTCCTAAACCTCATCAAATATTTTGAGGACATAAGTAAAGGGGTGTCACTTGAAGAAGCCAAGTCATAAAAACACCAGCAGTCTGGATGACACTAAGGGGATGGACACTGGGATTGGGTACCACTGATCAGGAGCCTCTTGGTCTCCTGACGATGGGCTGAGGCCTCTGTGCCCCTCAGCTGCTCACCCTTCCAATGCCCTGCAGGTTGGCCCTTGTGGACTCACTTTTGGGGGGAGGCTGAGAGGGGAACTGGCTGGCCAAGGGCACACAGGGAGCAAAGAACAGGGCTTATCTCTCTGCACTTGGGTTAATTTTAGCATCTCTGTTCTTTAACCTTGAGCTTCAGTGTCTGTTTCTGCACAAAGTGGATCAAAACACCACCCTAGTAAGAGGAGTGAGGATATATGCAAAACAAGGTGCTTGGAATATAGTAGGTGCTTGATAAATAACATCTCTCATTGTTATCATTAGACCCAGTCTTTCTAGTTCTGGGTTGACCTCTTCTTTAGGTGCAAGAAGGCAAAAGAAAAGCATAGTGTAGGTTTTACCAGCAAGATGACGAGACCTTAGTTCTTGTCATCTTGAAGGAAAAATTTCAACTGATAGACAAAATGCAGTAAAGCAAGAATATATTGGCCGCAGCAAAAGCACATCCAGGACAGTGCAAGCAGGGTGAATGTGGCCTAGAAGAAGCAATGGGGGTGCGTAGGCTTTGGCTCACTGGCCAGTCGGAGAAAAGAGGACTTGGAGACCGGATGCAGGGGGTGAGCCTGGGATGAGCTGCCACTGCCTGCTGCTCCCCTGGTTGCAAGTCTCATGGGGTCCCTTAAGACAGGAGGCGGGTGTCTGTGTAGGAAGAAGAGGGGAAAGGAAAAGGCATGGCTGGGAGGAAGAGTGCTCAATGGGTCCTTGTCCTGAAGCTTTTATCTTTCTCTTGCAGGTGGGAATGTTAGTGGTGGTCTCAGGGGAAGATGTCAACAGCATATTCATAAGCTTTCCAGGTGTGACCTTTCAGGGTCATGGTCTCCACTGATTGGTCAGCGCCAGGGCAGGGGGTCATTTGTCAATGCAGTAGATCCTGGTTTTGCTTCTTTTCTGGTCCTGGAGCTAAAATACATCTGAAGCCAGAATGTCATCCTTAGGGAAGAAAGGTCAGGGGATCCAAACCGCATGACCACCAGCATGCTAGGGGAGGAAAGGCTCCCCGGAGGTCGAGGTCTTTGTTTTCCTAGTTTTGCTCAATGCTAGGCACCGAGGGCTTTTCACCCTGGTGACCTGGCCCATTGTCCTTTCTCTGCTCATGTCTGCCTACAACAAGAACAGCAAGAAAAGTCTCAAGTCCTTCTCCCCAGAGCTGCTGTGCAAAACCTCAGATCAAAAATGCAGAGAGCCCTGGTCAGGTCTTGAAAGTTTGATTTCTGGTCAGGGCACACACCTAGGTTTTGGGCTTGGACCCGGTCAGGGTGTGTACCAGAGGCAACCGATCCATCTTTCTCGCATCTGTGTTCTCTCTTTCTCTCTTTTTCTCTCTGTCCCTTTCTCCTTCTCTCAAATCAATAAACACATCCTTGGATGAAGATTATAAACAAGAAAGCAGAGAAGTTACCATATTATGATTCTCTCACTTTTAAAAAATGATCTCCTTAGGAAACAACTGTGAAGAATTGACTTTTAAAACACACCAGATCACAGGCATTTCCTGAAGATCAGCTCTTTACAGAAGCCGGAAGCATTTTCAAAAAGGAGAGCAGATTTTGGCAGAGACAAGCTGGTGTGTTGGTGCAGGAAGGACTCTGGGGTGTGAGTATATGGTGGGGTTCCAGGGCCTGTGCAGACAACACATGGGTTTAAACATGGGGAAGTGTCCCCAGCCAGGGAGCTCGGATCTGACAGGGTGTCTGGGCTGCCTCTCCCCGAGGCTGTCATCACAGGCCTGCTCTGCGGGAAGGTGTCCCTACCACATCACCTGGGCTTACTTTCTTGGGCCTCTGACGAGCTGTCTCTGGCACATGAGATTCTGAAGCACCCACACCACCCAAAGGTGTTATTCTCACAGCCCAGCAGCAGAGGGAGCCACCTTTGTCAGGGGAAAGAATGTGAGATTTCCTCTGTGACCTCAGAGAACACCTAGCTTAGGGCCTTCTGCCTCCAGATAGTGAAGAAATGCAGCTGCCAAGCCCACATCTGACAGTTAAATCAGAATTCCTATGAGTCAGGAATTCCTGGAGCCAGGGTCTGGGGACCTTTGCAAAGATTCCCAGGTGATTCCTAGAACAACCAACGTTGAAAGGCACTGAACCCCACCTCCAACTCCAATACATTGAGACTTGGAAAGGGAAGTGTCCCATCCAGGACCTAATGGCCTCAGCCTGTCATAGGCCACAGTCATCGAACATTTACTACATGTCAGGCACCGCTTTGATCACTTCACATGTGGTCACTCACTCAGGCCTTGGAGCTGCTCTGAGGTTGGTGCTGTCACTGACAGGTGAGGACACCAGGCACAGTGTGGGGAGCAATGCGTCAGAGGTCACAGGCCAGGAAGTGGCAGAGCTGGGGTGTGAGCCCAGGAAGGGGACTAGGCCCATGAGCTCACGTGCTGGGTGCTGACACCCAGTAACATCCTGACCCACCCACTGGGGGCTTTCTAGACACCCCCTCCTGTCCTCACAGACCCCTGAGTGGGAGCTTGGATTATCACCCCTGTACAGGGACACTGAGGACCCCAGGGACACTGAGACTTTCCCAAGAGCACCCAGCAGTGGGGTGACGCCATCACTCACCGAGGCTCTGCCCTCTCACCAGGCTCCCTGTAGCCTGAGTCCTTCCTGCAGAGGGTGGGGAGAGCGTCCACTGTCTGCAGGTGAGGACACAGGGGCCCAGCAGGACAGAGTGGGCCACGCAGTGAAATAACACTTGATTTGGGGAGTGACTCTGTGCTGGGAGATTCAGACAGAGCACCTGAAATCCTTCCACTCTCCAAAGGAGTCCATGATTGTCACCATCTTACAGAGGAGCAAAGGGAGGCTGAGAGAGATGAAGGGGCTGTCTCCGCACCCCCCACTGGGTCCTGGAGTATTTGCTGTGGCCCCAATTCATGTCCATCCGCAGGGTAAGTGGACCACCTCACAAATCCAACACTGGCCGCCATCCTCTACTTTTTCCACTAAGAATTTTTAGTTAATTTTGTCAACTTTATTTTTATGGTTGACACCATTACAGATCTTCTCATTTCCCCATCCTCCTTATCCATCCTCCACCCAGCCCCAGCCCCCTTCCCTCTGGCCATCACCTCACTGTTGCCTGTGCCTGTGGGTTTGGCACATATGTTTTTTGGTAATTTCTTCAGCTTCTTTCATCCAGTCCCCAACCGCATCTCTCTGACAGCTGTCAGAAATCCTTGACTTTAAGGAATTCCTCTAGCAATAAATGAAAGACATGGCCTCCTCAAAGGATCCTCAGAGGATTCTAGACGTGCCAGGCAAACATGTCTAGAATAAGAACTCAGCTCATGCAGGGCCCTAACCAGCCTCTAGGAAACGCCTCCCCCTCCTCATCCTCAGTCTGCAGATCCAGGATCGCTGTGCCTGCTGTTGTGGGGCTGCAGTGGCCCCTAGTGACCCTCTCTCCAGGCCACTGTCCCCAGCTGCTCCTGCAGGTGCTCAGTGAAGATCAAACAGCACAATGGAGGGGAAAAGCCTCCTGGATGCTCCTATGCGCTGAGTCCTGTCACTAGGAGCAGGGTCAGCACATCAAGTGACATTTGCGTACTCGTCTGATCTGGGTTGTACAGTTGCCCTGCCTCCCCCACAGAACTTTTAAAAAATGCACATCGATGAAGAACAAAGCAATGCAATAATTTAAAAGGGGGGAGTTGGAGCTTTCTGCACACTTTGACAAGGACAGTGGGGTAAAGTAGGGGCTGTGAGTCAGGCTGTTTGGGGTCAATCTTAGCTTCCCTGCTAGTAACAAGTCAGGTCCCCTCTCTGAACCTTAGAGTCTTCACCTGTCAACAATAGCCCCTCTCACAGCACCGGTTATAAGAGTAAATGTCATGAGGAAGATGAAGATTCTAGAACGCTGTTGATCCTCACCCCCTCCCACCTCCCTGCCTTCTCATCCAGGGTTCGGCTGGGCAGGCAGTTCCGGGAAGAGGAATGAGGGAGGCAGCAGATCTGAGATGCAGTCACATACAACCTGTGGTCGCCTCAGCAAGGGACACCCTGCCGGGGAACTACTCTAATATCTGGAAATTCAGGATAAAGCCACCTTCCCTGCCCAAGTGTAGGAGTTGTAGGGAGACTCCATTGCTACCATGTATGGGAGGGACATTTGGCAATATTCACAAAGGCTCAACTTCACATACCCCCTCACCCAGCAATGCCACTTTCAGGGAGCATCTCTCTTGAGCAAGTGACACATGGACAAGGTTCTCCCCTGCATCACTGTCCTAATAGCCCGGGGATGGGAACAACTTATATCCATCAGGAGACTGTTAATGAACGACGCTGTCTCCATACACCGGAGGGTGAGGCAGCTGTTGAAGAAGGGGCAGCTCTAGGTGCTGATGTGGGTGCTTGACTGGGGGGATGAGGTCCAAGGCTGGGAGAGGATTTCAATAATCTTGGGCTTCAGGGTCTGATGCGAGGGGTATGTGAACTTTGAGAAAATGATGGGGGGAATGTTCTGGCTTCTTGTTCAATGTTTTGGTGTAATTAGGTTTCATTCGGCACCTTCTATGTGCCCAAGTTGTCCAGGGAAAGAGGGTCCTAAGACAGGACAGGAAGGAACCTGCTTGGACTCAGATTGAACTCTGAGATGATTCCACTACTCACTGGCCATGTGACCAAAGGTAAAATCACTATCACCCTTTGGCCCCAGGCTCCTGTCTTTGTATGGGGGATCAGGCAGGCTGGCTAACAGTCCTTTGTGTGCAGATATTCCAATACTTGGGATCCTGGGCCTCCAGCAGAAAACCTGAAATAAGCACTTTTGCTGCCTTAATGGAATGACACCTAAGTCACCCACAAGGGAACCTGCTCCCAGGGTGAGGGACAGTAGAGAAAACTCTGCTCACAGCCTAGTGACAGTGTGACCAGGTCCCTGAAATAAAGGGGGTTTACCAGACAGACCCACAGTGAGCCCCCAACCTCTGGCACCTCCTCCCAGCAGGGCTGGCAGAGTGAACAGGAGTCTGTGCCCCTTAGGAATGTCTTCTCACGTGATGCTTCTGAGGAGGAAATACAGGAACACGCCCCCCTCCCTGCCCTGCATGGATCTCCCCCAACTGCAGGGAGGAGAACGAAGCTCCGTGGGAAGAGCTCTGCCTGCTCAGACCCCTGCAGCTCCCACAGCACCCAGAGGGGAGCCCGGCTCCCAGCGGGTGTCAGTGAGTGTCAGGGAGGGGGGCTCGGCCACACTGAGGGGAGGGCTCTCTGGAGGCAGGGGTGAGGTCTGACCTTGTGACAGGCAAGTCCCTCAGACCTTCAGTTCCCTCATCCCTGGATGAGGGGGCTGGATGGGATTGGAAAAGACAAGAGCAGAAAGGGGGGTCAACCAGAGGGCTCCAGACATTTCCCACCATTTACCAGCCGTGGGGCCTAAGAAAATAGCAGGACATGCCAAGGCCTCAACTTCCCTGACCTGCAGGAGGGGTGACTTCAGACCAGAAATCAGACCCTGTCTATAAGCACCCACCACCTGATTCCTATTTGCTGCTATAAAAACAAAGGTCTTTCTTAGGAGCTTGTTGTCACACAGCAGGGACAGAGGATCCCACACTGTACTCACCACTCACAGTGAGTCGAGTGCCTGCCCCAGACTTGAACTCCGTGTCAGGGCTTCCTCTGCGGAACTTCACACAGTAGTAGGTACCGGTGTCTGCTGGGGTGATGTCACTGATGCGGATGGAAAAGTCCGTGTTGTTTCTCCTTGTTACATCTACAACACTTGTTACTCGGGGAGAGTGGCCTCCTTTGAGACTGTAGATTAACTCCCGGCCTGGCCCTGTCCCCCTGAACCACATGAAGGGCCCCACAGGGGTAAATGGAGGTCACGGTGCAGCTCAGAGTGGCCGTCTCTCCAGCTGCCACTGCCACTGACTTCTCAGGCTGAATCACCTGCAGCTCCTCACCTGCCCCTCCTGGGGGGAAACACAGAGCAGTTATTTATCCATCCACGTGTGATCATGTGGGTTTTGTTAGGTGTTTATCGACAACAGCTTTCATGGACAGAGTGCACACCCTGAGTGGGCCTGAGCTCAGCACATTATATGTGTCATACATGTAACCCTCACAGAAGCCTATAATGTGAGACCCTATCAGGAATTATGGAACCGAGGAACAGAGAGGTAAAGGGATGTGGCAAAGAGTGGGTTTAAGTTTTTCCTGCCAAGCCACTCTGCTTGGTGTCACCAATGATGGGCGTGCACTGGACCTTTTCCTGTGATGATTTGCTGCCCAGCTGAGCTCTGTGGCTGCTGGCAGTGTGACCTATGCAGCCTGAGGAGGAGGAGCACCTCGGCCAGTCCTTCTGTGGCCAGGACGCTAAGGCCACCATGGCTGGTCTTCTGATAATGAGGAAATGAGCTGCGGAGAAAGTGAATATCTCTTGGAATAATACTTATTTACATAAAACTGGAAAACCAGTTCTTGCAAGACTCACTGAATCCTTATCCCATTTCAACTTTAGCATCTCTCACAAAAGGGACATTGCTGCACCTGCAGCTGAACCAGAGCTATGAACTGGAATTTATACAATGAACGCTAGTTTTCCAGGTCATTGTTTAACTTGAGAATCTTTTCATATTATGAAAAGAAAGTTTACCAATAAGTAATTAGAAATAATCAGAACCTTTAAGGATAATGGACTCAGCTGGGGATGTTTTACAGGAACTGGGCACTGAAAGAAACCCTCATGTAGGCCATAGGTGGTGGACTAGGATTTGATTTGCAACAACTTGAATTTGCTATGTCCCCACTAAACTTGGATACAGGCCAGGCTTATGAAGAAACACATTAGGTTCTGGATGCAGTAGAAGAAAAGGAACGGGCATTTGAGGAACACAAAATGATTGCACCATGTTTTCTCAGCAGCTCTTAGGAAACCCAGTGGATCTGGACACAAGGATGTTTCGTCTCCAGATGAGTCTAAACCCTCCCAGGGGCGGTTTTCTGTTCTCACTCACAAGGACTCACATCATCTGCTGTTCCTATGGCCCCTGATGAGCCTTTATTTTGGGACCCTTTGCTTCACAGAAAATATTCTGATACAGAGTGGTACGGAGTCCTGGTATGATAAAGGGATAACATTAAATGCTTGATATACTCAAATATTATTTCACCAAACACTTTGAAATAGAAAAAACAACACTTTCTATTTAAAAAGCGCCCTCGCAGTTCAACATAACTTAGCAGAATACACGTTCACCTTTTCTCCCTCCTCAGAACCAGGTTGAGTAGACAGAGGAAATGGAAAAGGGTGACAGAAGTCTAAGTGACACAGGCACACTTCACTCACAGGGGTTGAGTTGTTTGTGATCGAAAGGCAAGGAGACCCTCCACCCGCAAAATTATTATTATTATTACTTAGTAGCAATAATACATTATTATTACCGTATTATGGAGGTCTGGTGCTGAACCCCTATATCTCAGAGGCGTGCCTGCACACACTTGTAGAAAAACAAAATGAAAACATGCAAAGAGGAAGTATTTACTTTCTGGCTTCTGGCTTTCAGGCATAACTATATCAGAGGTAACTATTTCCAAAACCTTTTCTTGGTAAGTAAATTTGTATTAACATACTCGGTTTTTAGTAAAAAATGAAAGCATATTTCTTTGTAGTTTGTTCCCCTTAACTGTGCATCTGCTGTTCAGAAATACTCCAGTGGCACGACTTCCACTGGCTCTGAAGCATTCTGTTCTACAGCTGATGGCAGGAGGGTGCTTTCGACCAGAGGTAAGTGTCCAAACATAATGGACTTCAGTAACCCAGCACATTCATTACTCACACACACGCAGCTCACATGTGTCATTAAGGACTCTGTTTGGCCTCGGCCTCAGGGTGTTTGGCCTTAGGCTTGTCTCCTGGTCCCAAGAGCTGCTGCTGCAACTGCAGCTTCACATCTTCACAGAATTGCGTCTAAAAGTCAGGAAAGGCTGTTCCTCTTCTCACGTCTCAGTTTGTCAGTGAGGAGTGTATTTCCCATGGGTCCCCAGTAAACTCCTCCTCAGTTCCCTGGACTCGGGTCAGCTCACTGAGGAAGCGATGGTTAGACCCTGTGGGAAGTGGACTCTGGGGAGGAAGGAGCTGAGGGAGGCCGGGAAGGTGGCACCAAGGGGACGCCCACAGCCTTCGGAAAGGGAGGGGCCACCGCTTACTCAGTGTTCCTATGGGTCAGACATTTGGTCGTCTGCAGATGTCACTGTGAGCAGTGGTGCAGGGAGCGCCCTTGTGACCATGTTCTGAGGTGTGTGCTTAGTCATGTCCTTGAGAAGGGTTCTGGAAGTGGGATGATTGGTTCAAAGGGACTAGACTCTTTTAGAGCTTTGATGAGTATTGCCAAGTGGCTCTCCAAAAAGTGCAACTTACACTTCCAGCTTGTTTACATGTGTGATCACACTTTCACCCCCCAGCTGCATACTCCCTGGTAAACTGTAGGTTTTAGGTTTTTAAAAATTTAATCTTTGCCAATATAAGTGAAAAAGTGGTGCCTTATTTTTAAAATTTTATTTCTTTTATTAGAGATATTTCACTGTGGTTGTTGGATTTGTATTCCTTTTTAAAAATGATTTTCCTGTTCATTGTCTTGCTTGTTTTTATTTCAGTAAATAGGACTTAAATCAAGGTGGGAACATAATATCTAAAATGCTGAGACCACCACATTGATGACAGAGTCTGATATATGGTTGTAACGCGTGTTTTGGGGAGTTAGTGCTGTTATTGTTTAATATCAAAAAGTGAAATAATTTCATTGTTGCCATTACTAAAATGGAAAGTTGTATGTAAATGGTATAAAATTAGATACGCTGTTTAGAAAAAAAGATGGAAAATTTTATAATTTTTTATTTTACTAAAGACTTCCCAAAATACTACATAGCAGAAAGAAAGAAGGAGCTCCTACCCTTTGAAACAGCATAGATGAATCTGGAGAGCATTATGTTCAGTGAAATAAACCAGGTGGTAAAGGACAAATACCATATGATCTCACCTACAAGTGGAACCTAATCAAGAAAACAAACAAGCAAGCACAATATAACCAGGGACAATGAAATAAAGAACAAACTGCTAGTGACCAGAGGGGAGGGATGGAGGGAATAATGGGAGAAAGAAGAGCAGGGGTTGTCAAGGAACATGTATAAAGGTCCCAGGGACAAAGGCAATGTGTGGGCAGGATCGAATGTGAGAGAGGGCGGGTGGACAGGGCAGGGGAGTGAAGTGGGGGAGAAGTGGGGACAACTGGAATTGACAACAACAAAAAAATTAAAAAGAAGAATTTTCTAATATTCCAATCATAATAAATAATGTTCTAAAAGGATTGAGTAGCATTTACAACAGAGAAAGCATTGTTATCCCTAGCATGAATGCAAAGGGATATGAAAAAATGTCATCCATCTTGTCATTATAATGGTAAAGTGATTGACATCGAAATAAGCATAAAGAGTGGGTTTAAGTGCTGAGTCACCTCTGAAAGTGCCGCACTTCCCCAGACATTTCCGGCTGTGCACTCTCTGCCTCATGGAGTGTCCCACTTCCAGACCATTGCAGGGCGGGACCCTGAGACTTCTCTAGACCACTGAGCTGTGCACAGGTGATGAGTGTATTTTAAGGGAAATGTATTTAATTGCAAGAACCCTCCTCTGCAGTGACCCACATGTCATGCTGGGCTCTGCTCCCTCAGGCTGGGCACCTGAGTGGCAGTGGAATGTAGAGCTCCCAACACACAATGAACATGTCATTCAAATAAGAACTGAAACAAGGTTTCAGGTTCCTGAGGTTTTTTCCCATTGTATAATCATGTTCTATTGTTTCCTAGGCTGCTTGAAGAAAATACTATAATCTGGGTGGATTAACCCAAAAGAAATTAATTGTTTTGTAGTTCTGGAGGTCAGAATCCAAAGTTGGTGCTTTGGAGCCAAGTTCAAGGTCTCGGCCCAGCTGCATTTCATTGGAAGGCTCAGTTTCCTGCCTTCCCAAAATCTGGAGCTGCCCATGTGCCTTTTCTCACGATCCCCCTCTTCCTATGACTCCAGCCACTGGCTTCCACTGTCACTTGCTCTTCTCCAACTTTGATTTTTTTTACCACCTTTTTGTAAGAACCTTTGTAATTATATCTAGCCCATCTGATAAGGAAAATGTTTTCATATCAATAGGGACTTCTCCAAAACTTCTTTTACCATATAAAGTAAACTATTCACAGGTTCCAAGTAGTAACGGATAGGCTTCTTTTGGGGGCACCACTGCTCTGTTCACTACCACATACATCTCTTCCACCTGTTACACAAACTGGCTGTAAAACCACATGTGTATGTGGTATTATTTGACTTTCCAAGGGAAGCTATACAAGCAGTGGGTTGGTGAAAGAGTTCACAAAATAAAACTAGAAAGCAATCACAAAAGAAAAATGGAATATTCACATATAAAAATAAATCAAGTAACACACCTCCAAAAATCAATTGCTCAAGGCAGAAATCACAGGACCAATGAAGGAATGTTTTGAGGCAGATTATAATGAAAACGTAATACACCGTAACTAAGATGCACGCAAAGCAGTGCTAGAGGGAAATTTATGGCTGCAAATGCATACACGTAAAAGGAGAAAAGATCATAAATCAATAACCTCACTATACACCTTAACAAATTAGACCAAGAGAAGCAAAATAAACCCCAAATGTAATGAAGCAGAAAGAGGAAAATGATAAAGTTTAGTGCAGAGATAAATGAAATGTGAATTAAAAAGCAACTGAGAGCCATGGCTGGTGTGACTCAGTGGATTGGGTGTCAGCGTGCAACCCAAAGGGCTACTGGTTTGATTCCCAGTCAGGGCACATGCCTGGGTTGCAGGCCAGGTCCCCAGTAGGGGGCGCATGAAACGCAACCACACATTGATGTTTCTCTCCCTCTCTTCCCCCCTCTGGATAAATAAATAAATTAATTAATTAAAAAAACAGAGAAATCAACAAAACGAAGAGTGTGTCTCAAAGACATTAACACAACTAATGAATCTTTGGTTATATTGACCAAAAAAAAAAGAGAGAGAGAGAAAATCCAAAAATCAGGAAGAAAACGAAGACATTTCTAACAATTTTAAAGAAGCAATACTTATTTCTAAACAGTGGTGAGGAACAACCCAAAAATGAAATTAAGCAAAAAAATCTATTTTTCAATAGAAACCACAAATATAAAATACTTAGGAGTCAGTTTAACCACTGAGATAAAAAACTTGTACACTGAAAAGTTCAAAACATTGTTGAAAGAAATTTAAACAGATTTAAATAGAAAAACATCTGTGTTTGTGTGGTAGAAGACTTAATATTATTCTGATGTCAACAGTACCTAAAGCAATCTACAGATTCCATAAAATCTTTATAAAAATACCAGTGGGATTTTCTGTTGACATAAAAAAGCTTATGTTGAAGTTCATGTAAAATCTTAAAGGACCAAAAATAATGAAACGATCTTGAAAAAGAAGAATGTAGTTAGAAGACTCCCACTTCCTGACTTAAAGACTTTGTACATAACTACAGTAATCACAGTTGTGTTGTCCCATCATGAGAGTAGATGGAGAGACCAATGGGATAGAGCAGAGAGCCCAGAAAGAAGCCCTCACATGTATGGTCAACTGATGGTCAGCAAGGATGGCAAGACCGCTTAATGAAGAAAGGATACTGTTTTAAGGCATGGGCTGGGAAACTAAATATCCACATGTAAAAGAATGAAGTTGGACATTTATCTTGTATCACAAAAAAATAAATGCAACATGAATCAAAACCCTACACATAGAGCTAAAACTTGAAAATTCTTGGAGAAAATTACCATAGGTGAATCTTTTCTTGACTTTGGATTGGGCAGTGATTTATTGGCTCTGACACAAAAGGCAGATAAGACAAAGCAAAACCAAAGTCCCTCAGAGGAGGAGGCAGCTGAGGCACCACCGACAAACCCTGTGTTCTGCTCTATTTCTCAGCTTCCCCTCAGGGAGAGTCTGTGGGTCACCTTTGCAGAGTGTGAGCTGGTGAGCCCCTCCCACTCAGCACTGTGTGTGACCACAGCCCCATGTGCTGAGCAGGGCAGGTGCTTGGGTACCAAGCACATCACGATTTGGGTTTTTAAGTCGGGAGAGGAAGACTGAGGAGAGGGAGGATGAATTGCTGAGACAAAATAGGAGAAGCAGAAATGAATCTTCCAGGGAGAAATGGAGGGAACAGAGAAGGAGAGAAGAGGACTCAACACTCTGCGTCTGTCCATCTCTAAATCTCACATCTACATCTCTGTCCAGTCCTTCCCCTGAACCCTGGACTGTATGTCTAACCACCCACTCATGTTTTCCTTTGGATGAAAACACACCTCACGGTTAACATGTCCAAACTGAACTCCTGCATTTCCCCCACAGCTCTCTCCATCTCACCTGAGCACCAGTGTTCTTCCAGATGCTCAGGTCACCAACACGTGGAGTCTTGCTCTCCCACCTGAATCCTGTGCATCGGAAACCCTGGGGCTCCACTTCCACATGCACCCAGGTCTCCATCTTTCCCCCTGTCTCTACCAGCTACTGTCCTCGTACCAGTCATTTCTCTCTGTCCGCATGAATGCTCTACCTGCTTCTCTCTGTGTCCTGTTGTAGTCTATTCTCAACTAAATGCTATGGTATTTTAAACCTTATCTTACTTCTTTCCTCAAAACCTTGCAATAAAAAACTTTTCACACTGAGAAAAAGCTTGAATAATTTCCCAAAGCAGATGATTCTACTCTCAGGGACTTCACACATGCTGTTACCTGACAGGAAGGCTCTTCCCCCAGATGACACCAAGGCTCACTCCTGACCTTTTTTAATGTTGGCTCAAACTTCCCTTCTCAATGATGCCCACCTGGACATCTCTGTTTAGCATATGTCTCAATGTAGATTCCCCAACCCTCGTATTCAGCAATGCTTTCATTTCCCCCTAAAACTTATCACTTTCTGATGTTCTATAATATGTAATGATTAATTATATCTATTGTTTACTGTCATTTCCCCACTGGTATATAAGCTCCATGAGGGCAGCTACTTCGTCTCTTTGTTCACCAACACACCCCAAGTTTCCATAATGTTCTGGTACATTGGAAGTATTTAATAAATATTTGTATTACATGTGAGAATTGGACAGTCACACTTCTCCCTGACACTCCGAAGCTTATCTTAAGTGGGAAAATTTGTGTATTCATGTCAGACACTGAGTTTCCCAACTACATGACTTAGTGAAAAACAAAAGCATCTGGTGCATGTGCAAGAAGAGGAAGAACCCGAGAGCAGAAAACCATGAACCTTCTCCCCCAACACCCACCCTTCCCCACACCCCTTGGCCCAGGTGGCAGAAATCTCATGGGATGGATGTGGGGTAATGGGGAAGTCTATGAGCCCTAGGATCAGGCTGTTTGAGTTCATATGGTAGCTCTACCATGTACCATTGAGTAACCTTGGACCTCTCTGTGCTTTTTTCTCTTCTGTAATTAGGGGTGAGAAAGAAATCTACCTTGGCTATAATGATCACATGAGGTAAGAGATGCAGGAATTTCCAAGAGTTTCTGCACATGGTGAGTGTTCAAGAAATTGACAGGTTATTACTCATTTTACTTCCTGGGGCTGGATGCTTCATCTGACATTACAGGATATATTATGAATACAGAGATACCTCTATATTCATACGAGCAGGATTCTCTGTATCTTTTAATCCCCTTTTCCTCCTCACACCCATCCATCACAGAAGAGGGAGGCCAAGATTATAATGTACAAAATTCTACTTGTTTTTTTCAGAGAGAAGTTTTCTTGTCTTAAACGTTTGGGGGAGGGTAAGGAGCACATTTAGAGAAGTAGAGGAGAGAGGGTGTCTAAGAGACAGAGGGAACTAAACATCTCTTCGATCATTGCATATAGATTAAGAGGTTTTGAAGAGAACAAAAAGGAAAGACATTTTTTAAATCCCATGTGTGGAGTTGTGTGTGTGCACTCCTTCACCCCTTTCATACACACACACACACCCCCACACACACAGATACATGCAGCACAAGAATATATAGAAGTGTGGCCTCACATGCTAGCATTTAGGTTGTTTTGAGGATTAAATGAAATGATTACACCAAACGAAATGATTGTATCACATGCTCAGTAACATACTTGGCAGATGGGAACAAAGTTCCTGAGTCAACAGCAGAACCTGAATTCTGGGTCTCTGAGTGGCCTGATGGGTGATGTTGGTTTACTTTGGTTTACTTCTCCGTGTTTTCTGACTTTCCACAGTCAGCCTCCACTGAGAAGCCATATCACATGGTTAAAAGAATCAGCTCTGGAGCTGCTCAGGCTGGACTTGAATCCTGGCCAAAACTCTGCCTTACCTAGACAACATTGGGCAAGTTACTCTCTGTGCCTCAGTTTCCTCATCTGCAAATTAGGGATGATAGTCCCAGTTCTCACACAGGGATGTTGTGATGACTAGAGGTTTAATGCCCACAAAGTTGTCACTCTGTGGTTTGAAGCATCAACTGTTTTGATTCTCTGGTACCCAGGCTCAGGCAGTGGACTCACAAAGGAAAACTATGGACTCTGATTTCATGCTCTCAGATACTGCTCTCTTCTTGGCCTTCTGTGACAGCACTGAGTGATGCTCCCTGTTTTCCTGGAGGCTCTAAATTTTCAGGGGCAGGAGAAGGTCCAGGGGGAGAAGGAGAAAAATCTATCCCAAAGCATGCTCACCTGTGAAGCCCAACAGCAGAGTCAGCAGCAGGCAAAGAGAAGGGCGGATCCAGGAGGCAGGGACCAGCATCCTGGAGGACTGAGGAGCCTGCTCTGTCCAATGTGTGCTGGAGAGCCCAGACTCTGCTCTGTGGGAGGAGAGAGGCCCCACTTCCTGTCATGTAAGAGGAAGTGCCCAGGACAGGGTGCAATGGCTGGGAGACAGTAGTCCACTTCTAGATTCAAGACAGTTTCCACTTCCAGATTGTGACATAGAATCAGGCAGAGAAGGCAGCTACAGGATAAAGAGTTACTCATGTTCCTTCTCAGAGACACTTGAACAGGCCTACAGAAAATAGTGCTTCCCCTGCCTGAGGCCTCTGCTCTCCAGTGGACACTTCACCCCTCTGAGACCTTCATGGTGATGCCCCACTTGGGGCCCCAGAAAAGAAGGGGCTGCCATTGTGGAATGTGTCCAAGCCCAGGACCCTAGGATGTAGGCAGCTTATGGCTTTGTCTTCCTCATTTTCATAAGCAATTACTAACTTGCAGGAAGGAAGAGGGTTTACCGAAGCCTGTTCAACATCGGGATAAAACCAGGCCTGCTACTGAATGATTCCCTATTCTAACCATTTACTGATGGAACAAATAAAAACTCAAACATAGAGTGAGGTATGGACCTCACAACTTGTATGCGCCTCAGTCCAACAAAGTATCCAATAACAAGCAAATGACTAAACTGGGCTGTATCCAGACAAAAAGACACTAGTCAGCAATAGAAAGTACTACCCAAATCAATTTATAGACACAGCGTAATCCCTATTAAAATACCAGTGACATATTTCACAGATATAGAACAAACATTTTGAAAATTTATATGGAACCATAAATGACCCCAAATAGCCACAATTTTGAGAAAGAAGAACAAAGTAGGAGGGATCACAATACCTGGCATCAAACTGTATTACAAGGTCATGGTAAACAAAACAGTCTGGACTGGCATAAGAACAGACACATAGATCAATGAAACAGAATAGAGAGCCCAGAAATCAACCCATGTCTTTATGGTCAATTAATACTCCACAAAGGGGGAAGAAGCATAAAATGGAATATTGATAGCCTCTTCAACAAATGGTGTTGGGAGATGTGGACAGCTACATGCAAAATTATACCATATACAAAACTAAACTCAAGATAAATAAAAGGCTTAAATATAATTTGTGACACCATAAAAGTCCGAAAGAAAAACATCGGCAGGAAAATCTCAGACATTCTACATAGCAACATCTTCACTGATACATCCCCTTAGAACAAGGGGCATAAAAGAAAGAATTAAAAAATGGGACTTCATCAAAATAAAAAGCTTCTGCATGGCCAAAGAAAACATCAGTAAAATGAAAAAGGAACCAGCTGTATGGAAAAATATATTTGCAAATGATACCTAGGAGAAGGGTTTGATCTCCAAAATATATAATGAACTCACATGACTCCACTCTAGGAAGACAAACAATCCAATTAAAAAATGGGCAAAGGACCTGAACAGATTCTTCTTCAAGAAGGACATACAGAGGGCCCAGAGACATATGAAAGGATGCTCAGTATCACTAGCCATAAGACAGATGCAAATTAAAACCACAATGAGACACCACCTCAGACCAGTCAGAATATCCAACATAAACAAATCAACAAACAAGTGTTGGAGAGGATGTGGAGAAAAGGGAACTCTAGTGTACTGTTAATGGGAATGCAGACTGGTACAATCACTATAGGAAACAGTATGGAATTTTCTAAGAAAACTAAAAACGGACCTGCCTTTTGACCCAGCAATTCCACTGCTAGGATTATATCCTAAGAACCCCGAAACACCAATCCAAAAGAACCTATGCACCCCAATGTTCATATAGCAGCACAATTTACAATAGCCAAGTATTGGAAGCAACCCAGGTGCCCATCAGTAAATGAATGGATCAAAACACTATGGTACATTTACACGACGGAATTCTATGCAGCAGAAAGAAAGAAGGAGCTCCTACCCTTTGCAACAGCATGGATGGAACTGGAGAGCATTATGCTAAGTGAAATAAGCCAGGCAGTGAAAGACAAATACCATATGATCTCACCTTTAACAGGAACCTAAACAACAAAACAAACAAGCAAGCAGAATATTACCAAATACACTGAAATAGAGAATAGGCTGACAGTAACCAGAGGGGAGAGGGGTGGAAATTTCAGGGGAAAAGAAGGGTTTACAGGAACAAGTAAAAGGGACACAAGTAAAAGGGTGGGGAGCACTTCGGGGGTGAGCTGGGATGGGAGTAAAAGACAGAAAACTGTACTTGAACAGCAATTAAAATAAATAAATTTTAAAAAGAAAGTCTTAAAAAATCTTAAAACTTAAATCTCATATCCATGATTGGGAAACTCAGTGTTGAAAAGATGTCAATTTGCCTGAATCAATATACAAATAGAATGTAATCGAATGATAATTCTAATATGGTTTTCCATGAAACATGAAATAGATATTTTAAAATACTTTTGGGCCAAGATAGCACACCATTTTGAACAAGAAAAGGAAAGAAGATTTGCCCAAAAGAAGTATAAAAACTGAATATAAAGCAATATTAATTAAGCCAGGCACAGAGATAAGTTCTGATACAGAGATAGACAATTGCTCCACAGAGCAGAGAGCAAACAGAAAGAACCAGGTGCACAAGGAGACCTGACGTAGGGCAAAGGTGGCTGTGCGGACCAGTGAGTGCTGGGTCGTTTATCCTTGTGGAAGAAAAAAAGATACCAGGAAAATACAGCTAGATTAAAGACACAAATACAAAGAGTAAAACCTGATCAGTAACTGAAAGCAGTTTTTGGTGTAAACAAGGTCCCAAATGATACCAACACACTGCTTCTCTGTGGCCCTCACAAGGGCACCAAGAGGGACTCCACCATTCCTGTCAAGGAAGCAAAGACAAGAATGTTTGTTCTAAAGTGGTGCTAGCAAAATATTAGACAAATCCTCAATATCCAGCATGAGAAAAACCAATAAATTATAGCATGTGGTTAAACGGAAAACAAATTGTAGCATATTGTTATAATAGAAAACAATAAAGCAGTGAAAAGCAATAAAATGAAGCTACATATATCAACACAAATAACACAAACTGTTATTTAGCATAAAGAATAAAGTCCCAGACTTCCGCCAAGATGGAGGCGTAGGTGGAAACACTTTGCTTCCTCGCACAACCAAATCTAAAACTAATAAAGTTTTAACAATAATAAACGCCACCAAACCACAGAAAATCAAACAATACGGAGTCTGAAAACAATAAACCGCTCAGCTAAACCAGTGAGAGGGGCGAAGCCAGCAGTGGAGCGGGTCGGGCAAAAAAGATCTCCTGACCCAGGCAGCACGCAGGCAGCCGAGGGCGCGGATCCCAGGTGCGGGGTAGCTATGGGTGGACCCAGGGAAGGTGCAGTGGTTGTGCATTTGAGTGCAGATAAAGCAGTGAAGAAACGAGCATTGAGACAGACCGAGAAGGCCCCAGCGCAGGGCGGCAGGCTCGCACATTTGCACTCAGATAAACAGGCGGGGGCAAGCGGTGAGGCAGACCAGGCAAGCAGAGAGGACCGCCATTGCTCCCTCTCTGACCCCGCCCCCACATACAGCATCACAAACCAGCCCCGGTGGCCCTGCCCTGGTGAATATCTAAGGCCCCTCTCCTCATACATAACAGGCACAAACAGATCAAAACATGGCTCAAGAACAACTCAGAGCCCCAGAGCCAATAAATCTAATGAAGAAATAGCCAAACTTTCAGATGCACAGTTCAAAACATTGGTGATCAGAACTGGTTGATTTTAGTCACAAATTAGAGGAACATATGAAGGCTAAACTAATTGAAATGAAGGGAAGTGCACAGGAAACCAACAGTAATGGAAAGGAAACTGGGGCTCAAATCAAGGGAGTGGACCAGAAGGAAGAAAGAAACAACCAAACAGAAAAGTATGAAGAAACAAGAATTCAAAAAAATGAGGAGAGGCTTAGGAACCTCCAGGACATCTTTAAATGCTCCAACATCCGAATTATAGGAGTACCAGAAGGGGAAGAGGAACAGTCACGAGTGGAAACCTTATTTGAATAAATAATAAAAGAGAACTTCCTCATTCTGGCAAAGGAAATAGACTTCCATGAAATCCAGGAAGCTCAGAGAGTCCCAAAGAAGTTGGACCCAAGAAGGAACACACCAAGGCACATCGTCATTACATTAGCCAAAATTAAAATGAAGGAGAGAATCCTAGAAGCAGCAAGAGGTAAGGGGACAGTAACCTACAAAGGAGTTCCCATCAGACTGTCAGCTGATTTCTCAAAAGAGACCTTACAGGCAAGAAGGGGCTGGAAAGAAGTATTCCAAGTCATGAAAACCAAAGACCTACAACCAAGATTGCTCTATCTAGCACACTTTCATTTAGAATGGAAGGACAGATAAAGTACTTCTCAGATAAGGTCAAATTCAAGGAGTTCATCATCACCAAGCCCTTATTATATGAAATGCTAAAGGGACTTACCTAAGAAAAAGAAGATAAAAAAGATGAACAGTGAAAGGACAGCAAACTCAGAGTTATTAACAACCACACCTAAAACAAAAGCAAACTAAGAGGACAGCTAGATCAGGAGTGAACCATAGAAATGAGGATCACATGGAGGGTTAGCAACAGGGGAGTGGGAGGAGGTGAAGGGGGGAGAAGGTACAGAAAATAAGTAGCATAGACAGTAGATAGAAAATAGATAGGGGGCAGGGTAAGAATAGTAGGGGAAATATAGAATCTAAAGAACTTGAGACATGTGTTCATGAACTAAAGGGGGGATGGTGGGGGAGGGGTGTGCAGGGTGGAGGGGAATGAAGGGTGGGAATAGAACAAATGTAATGGCATAATCAATAAAATTAAAAAATATTAAAAAAATAAAGTTCCAGAGTGATGTGTAAAGTACGATCATATTTGGATAAAAATTAAAACATGCAAAGTAATATTAAATACTGCTGAGTAATTACGCACATGTTATAAAATAATAAGATGTTTATACATTGCAAAGAGATGTCCATGGGTATGTTTATATTATTCTTTATATATTTCAGGATGGCAAAATGTTTGACTAAGTGATTTCAAATATCTATGTGTTAAAAGGAATTCACAATGGCAAAAGCTCTGATTTTATATCTGGTTGACAATGTCTGTGTGTGTGACAGGGTTTGCACGGACCCCCTGTCACTGGAACATAGGACTTGGTGGTCAAGTCGTGGGGGAAGAAACCCAGGGCCTTTTCCATCTCAGCTACTGAGGCTGCTGATATCCATCTGATGTGCCTACACTGTGCGTGGTCCCATTGGCCTAGGCCACTTTGAAACAATAGTGTAGATTCTCAACTTTTGTTCTGGCAGCTTAAAATTTCAGTGTTGCAAACTACAAAGAAGCAAAGATTATTTACACTTGTTATCATTTCATTACAGAACATGAAGCTTTAATACAAGAAACAGACAATGAACAATCCTTTCGATAAAATAGATTTAGCTTTTTTGCCCCATTTTATTGAGATGTAATTGACATATAGCTTTGCACATTAGTTTTAAAGTAGAGGATGATTTATGTGTGTTTTTATTATTGCAAAATGATTGTCACAATGAGTTTGTTAACATCTATCACCTCACATAGTCAAATTGTTTGTTCACGTGATGAGAACGTTTAATATTTACTCTTTAGCACCTTTCAAATGTGCACACAGTGTTGTCCACTGTGGTCGCCATGTCGTACCTTGTGTCCTCAAACGTATTTATCTTATCAACGGACGTGTGTGCATTAGGCCACCTTTACCTACTTTCCCAACCACCACGCCCTGCCCCTGGCAACCCCCAACCTGTTCTCTGTACCTAGGAGTTTCATTTATTCGATTCTATAAATGAGAACATACAGTGTTTGTCTTTCCCTCTCTGAATTATCACATTAGCACAATGCCCTTAAGTTCTATTTATGTTGTTGCAAATGGCAATATTTTCTTCTTTCTATGAATGAACAATATTCCATTACATATGTACTATATGTACTCTATTCTCTTTAGTTGTCATCCACTGATGAATAACTACTTGGTTCCTTGACTTGAATATTGTAAATAATGCCACAATGAACATGGGGGTGCAGGCATCTCTTGAAGATAGTCATTTTATTGCATCCGGATATATACCCAGAACAGTGTGGTAGTTCTGTTAATTTGTTTGAAGACCGTCTGTGCTGTATTCCATAGCGGCTGCATCAAACCTCCGTTTAAATGAATTCACTGCTGTTTCTTTGATTTTCCTGATCCTCTTTTCTGCTTCGTTTAGTCTACTGTTGAGACCTTCCTTTGAACATTTTAGTTCAGTGATTGTATATCTTCACCTCTGTAGTTTCTGTTTGTTCTGTTCTGATACACGTAATCTCTTTGTCACGATTCTCACATTGTGCAACACTGTTCACCTGGGCAGGTGAGTATCTTTGTCAGCATCAGGTAAAATGGTTAGTGAAATAATCCAGATGTATTTCTAGAGTTTTTTTAAAGATTTTATTTATTTATCTTTAGAGAGGAAGAGAAGGAGAGAAGGAGAGAAACATCAATGTATGGTTGCCTCTCATGAGTCCCCTGCCGGGAACTGGCCTGTAACCCAGGCATGTGCCCTGGCTGGTAATTGAACCGCAATCATGTGGTTCGCAGGCCTGTGCTCAATCCACTGAGCTATGCCAGCCAGGGCTCTAGAGTTTTATCTTATTCTTTTATTTGCTACATAATCCTTCATTTCTTCACTTTCTTTGACTCTCTGTGTTGGTTTCTGTGCATTCAATAAAAGGCAATTTTGATGAAGTGGTTTGTTGTAGATGAATTTTATAATTCAGCCCTGATCTAGCACTTGATGGTCTCTCTGAACCGTGTGTTGTCCCAGCTGCCTTGTATGTTCTTGGTGGCCCCCAACCGTTCAGGTGACATTTCATGTCCCAAGGGGAGGGTATCAGTCTGCACCTCGGTGCAGCCTGCTTGGACCATGCATCTTTTCCAGTACAAAGTTTGTTAGTTAGTTATTGACCAATGAAGGGACCAAATGGGATCAGACAGTAAGCCTGATTAGCCAGGAAGAAGAAGCCTCACAGACACACAGGGAAGAGCAGCATCCTTGCCAAAGCAACGCTAATCCCCTAGTAGGCAGGACAGACCAGCTTTGCAATCTCCCCAGGGAACAAGCAGGTAGGTGGGGAGGGAGACACAGTGAGGGGGAAATTCCTCTGCTGAGGCATGTGCAGTAGAAGCCTAAATGGTGACAACAAAGGGGAGGGGACAAACCTGAGAAGAGAGATTGAATAGAGGTTGGCACCAGCACAGCCCAGGGAAGATCCAGGGAAGAAACTGGGTAGTTTGAAATAAAAGCCTGCTCTAGCCCAAGCCCAAAGAAATATAATCAAAGCTTAACCAAGGTGGGGGCATCAGAACTCTCTCTTCAGCTGCAATGCAGGTCCTAGCACATTGTCATTGGCTGGGCAGGAACAGAAACTGTGCTGGACTACTGGGGCTTCATGTGCCAGGTTAAGGGCATGGCAGCTCTGGATACTGACCCCCTCTCCATGGCTTGGAGGGCCCAAGGGCAGGCCTGTGGTCCCAGAGGCTGGAATTCTTTCACAGCAAGGTGGAACTGAGCAACCTGGTCATGGATAAGACATTGCCTAAGCCCTCCATTTGTTTTTGCTCCAATAAATCTTGCCACTATGCCTTAAGGCCTCCCAAGTATGTATCCTGAAATGCACTTCCTGTGATACCATGGACAAATTCTATTCCCTCTGGCAACAGATTCTCAGGCAGAAGCTTGTAAAATACATAGACCTTTTTCGGGGGAAGATGGGGTGGGGGATGGGAGATTCTGACTTCTGTCTATGTTTTTCTGTTGTTCTTGTTTGTATTGTACAGTCTTGTGAGATCCACTAACACAAGACCCACAGCCACCAGAGCCAGGCCATCAGTGGCTGCATCCCCTGAGCAGCAGCCACAAGGGCCAACGGACTAGATGTGCACACAGGCTCCTTCAGGGGGACACCAGGACCAGGCGTGCAGCAGAGGGAATGTGCAGGTGATACCACTCAGCTCCCTGCTGTCTGGAGAGGACTGTTGGCCTTCGATGTGGGTTAAATTAGGAGCCTGGTCGTCAGACTGCAGATTGTATAGAAAGTAAACAGGCCTCTGTCAAGGAAAGACTGGGAGATGGGCATTTCTCTCTGCTGCCTCTGTGTTGAGCCCAGGGTGTCGGGATAGATGGGCAATTTGTCCTCACAGCCCATTGAGAACTGCTTCCTTGCTCACTGCACTGCTGTGGGTGTTGTGGATCCAAGCCCCACTGCCTTTCATATCTACTTGTTTTGGGGGCTAATCCCTTAAGGTGGGAAATGTTAGGTTTAAATTCCACTCGTCAAGGAGACACTGGGAATTGTGAGTCTCTCCCAATTGTAGGTCTCTGTGCTGGAGGTGGAGTTTGGGGTGAGATCATATCCCATTCTGTTCTCTTTGTTTAGAAGTGGGTGTTTTCCTTGGGTGTCCAATGTGTGGGAGTCTCCCAAATAGTCTCTGTGTCTCTTTCTCAGAAAATTGTTCCCCTAATAGCTGTAGATGCGGTGAGTCTCTGGGGGAAGGTGAGTTTAGGTGCCTCCATAGAATTATTAGGTTTTGCTTCAAAGAACAAATTCTTATTTTTTTCATTTTAGGTAAGTTTGAGGTCCTACATTCACAGGGAAGCCAAAACCCGAGGCAACAGGGTTTTGGAAAGACAAGATTTATTTGTCCAGTTGTTGAACCAGGGGACAGAGAAGGCTCAGGTCAGTCCCCCCCTCACCCCAGAATACAGAGTTAGAGCAAGTTTTAAAAATAATGTAAAGGAGACATTGTACATATTTATTAAAATCTAATTTATGAGTCTTGGTTGGACAATTTTGGAAGAAAGTCATAAAAGGGAAGGAATGGGAAAGGTGAGTGAAGGTCTAAAGGAAACCCTCATGGGCAGGGTCTCATTGGGTGAGATCTGGGTGCCCCACAAGTGCCGATTCCTGGGCCTCCATCCCTTCTGACTACTGTCTATGAGGACCAGGTCTATGCTCAGAGTTTCTGTCTTGGCACAAATATAGCTTCAGGCCACCCTTCAGGGTTAGTTGAAGTTCATTCGTCGGCTCTCTGAACATGCCCTTTGCCTCTGGGACCAGTCTGATGTGGTTTGGTCTTGTGTCCCTGAGACTCTGCTCTGTGAGGAGTCCCGCTGTTATAAAAAGGAAAGAAAAACCCCAAACTATTAGGGTCTGGTTTCGGCATTCGTGTCTAGTTGCAATTATATTGTGATTTGCTCCAGTTTCCCCTCATCCTGGCAATTGTGCCCCCAACTTTGAAGCAAATGTCACTCTTGCTGTCTTTAAAGAGATTCTCAGTTCCAGATGCCAGGCTACAAGTAGGGTAATTTTTCCCAGAAAAGTCTGAGAACACCTTCAGGCAGCCAGGCTGCTGCAAGATATTCAATGTCACTCCTTCACAGGGTTGGAGACCCGCAGATGGTGTTCCTCACTGAACAAAGGAAGAGAAGGATCTTATCACACACACCTTGTTCCAGGCCCTGTGTGCTTCACACATTGCTCTCTCCTTTAAAGCCCCCACAGTTCTTTGAGGCAGCAGGATTCCCATTTTTCAGGGGGGCATGGAATTGGCTCAGAGAGGGTCAGTGAGTTGCCCAAGTTCAAGGTCACATAACTGAACCCAGGTATCTGAACCCAGGCATCTTTGCCTACCAGACCTCAGAGGGGAACATCTCTGCTTGATTTCTCAAGACTTTGAACACACCCTCACTCAGTGTCCGATGGATCACAGGAAAGTGTGGTTCCTAAAGACTTATCGGGTCCAGAGATTCCTACACTCAGACACTCTAGGCCAACACATTTTTGAAAAATAATTGTACATATCAGTTTTCAAAGAAAAAATTAATTTTAAATGCCCTTCCAGTTACTGTAAATGCCATCTTACAGTAGAAAGCTAATACCTAAAAAATACAAAGAATAAAATTCATTTTGTCTGTCATTAACACATATTAATTGATTGTCTATGTTGAAAACTCACTTAAAATATCTAGAGATAATTCTAAAGGGATATATTAAGGGGATAGCATGTATTCAAGAAAATCTATTAAAACTAGGCAAGAAAAGTGAAATTCTGTGGTGTTTGAATCAAGATCCTGCCCCTCAGCCTCTTCCACTCAACCAGATGAAAACCCCTCCAGATGCGAACAACCTGAACACAGGCCCAGCTCCCAGTTGAAACAGTTCAGGGTTCTCAGCTTACATGAAATTACTGTACCTCCGATTCATACTGTCCTTTAGAAGCAAACAAAAATTTTTTAAAGGCATATCCATTATTGAACCACAGCCAATCTGAAGGCGGCTACCTCACAGTATCACGCTGTACAACTTGGTCACAGCATTGCTTTCTCTTCCTGAGGCTCCTGGTTGATGGTGTTGGATAAAGGTCTGATGGCATCAGTGTCACTGTCCCTTCCATGTCCTCAATTCTCAGCAGCCCATTTTTCCTCCAACCACATTTAAGTCATCAGTGAGAGATAACGGCCCAGGTGACCATCTGGGGTTCTGTGTGTGATTCTGAGAGGACCATGGATGAAGGCCCAGGTCTGGGGGCATCACGGATGGTGAGAAGGGGCACTAGGGGCCCATGGGCAGCAAGTCTGCTCAGGGGAGAGGCATTTGAACAAGAGTCGGTAACACTTCCAGTCAATCTTCTTTTCCTTAGGCTGAGTGTGTCCTATGAGGAGGGAGACTGCGGAGATGGAGGGTGTTGAGCAGCAGGGGAGGAAGGAAGGGGCTGCAGGAAACAGGGTCTCATTTAATTATCTGCTCATCATTGAAGAAGTGTTCCCTGCATGTCTCCTGTGTTCCAGGCTGTCTTGTTCCTGACACGCCTGTCATGAGAGAACATACAGCACCTGGCATAGGACTCCTCAGCCTTTCTCCCCAAGTACTGATGTCCTTTCCCCATCCCTTCCCCTCTGTCACAAGGAAGATCAGAGCCAGGACAACCCTCAGAGCAGCAGGTTCAGGAATTCTCAACAATACTCTAAAGTGTGAATTCTTTTAACTCCCAAAGGACCAGGGATCAAATAATCCAGAGATGGTCTTCAATGGAACCACCCTCTCAGCTGCCCCTCATTCAACTCCCTCTGCCCACTTCCTCCACAGAAACCCTAAGATCTTGTGGACACCCATTAACACCTTTGATCCAGCCCACCTCCTACAGAACCCACCCACTTCATAGGAAGTGAGAATCTCTTAGAGGGATCTTAGAGATTCCTGAGTGTACTGATGTACATGCATCACCTTCTCTTTATGCAATGTTACCTCTGACCCTGTGTGACCTGTGGCTGGCCCCTTCTGGGACAGACCTTGGCCTGCTCTCCCCATCACACAACTTACAGTCAGGCTTTCCACGTCCTGTGGACATAGAGGGCAGAGACACCAACCACCAGCAGTACCTTGAAGCCTAGAAGGAGCCCTACGAGGACGTCAGTAGATGCTTCAGGGCCTGAAAACAGAAAAACAGGAGGAGCTGTTAGAGAAAACCATTTCCAGGGGCCTGTAGTGGCTCCGTCTTGGGCTGCCTGCACCCACCAATGTGCTGAATGTCTTTAATCCCGCTCTGCTCTCAGGCTCAAGGCAGAAATCAGAGTAAAGAGCTTCCTCATCCTCAATCACCTCCTTCCTCCTTTGCCAGGGCTGTCTTCCTTGAGGGAGGGGGTGAAGAATATGTGTGCTTAGCAACCCATGAGTCTGACCCCTGCTTAACTGACATGAACCTCATTCCCCTATGAGGCAGGTAGTTTTATCCTCAGTCTAATGAGGAAACAGAATCTCAGAGAGTTTATGGAGGTCACAGATTAGTAAGATTCAAACCTACAACATACATCACTGTTGCTTTTTCGATGATCCTAAGCCCTTGTCTTTTGAGGGAAAACAAGAGCAGCCTCTCAGAGTTGCAGCAACAATGTACTTCTCATGAGAGCTGCAGCTGGAAAACATCCTGGGATTCAAAGAAATGCACAAAGATTGGGAGGTGCTGAAACACCATTCAGGGGGCTGTGACCCCAAGGTCTGTGTCAGCTGAAATGTTTCTACTGCACAGAGAAAGTCATATCTCAGAAAGAACACCTTCAGATTCTTTGCAGGTGTATAATGACCCATTTTTGTTTAAATAAACAAGGACATTAAATAATTCATTATAATTTAAAATATCCTTAATGTAGGACTGAGGAATTCACCATATTTCCCGTGGGAAGGTGGAGAATGGCAATTCTCAGCTGAGAGGTTCTCTGGGACATTCCCTCAGGGGAAGGGAGCTTCAGTGTCAAGTTTGTACCCCTCTTAGGTGGGAGAGAGGGTCAGAGGGCTGGCTGGACAGAGAGTATAAAGGTTCAGCTCCCTCCTCTCTATTTAAACATTTCTCAGAGAATGTTCTTCTGTCCAGGTCTCTGTGGAGCAGCTAAGCCTGGAGCCTGCATTGCAGTTCAGCAGCTCCCTCTCCTGCTCCTTTTTTCCCTCAGGCATGTGGATTCTGACAGCTCCCCACAGTGAGCTTCCCACACTCTATGTCCATTCAGAGTCTGCTTCCTGGGGAAACTGAGCTAAAGGAGTATGTCCGGGAGCCCTCTGGGGAACAAATATGAAAATGCAACTTAAAAATGGATCATGCACTGGTGGGTTGGTCAAGAAGACCCAGCTCTGGCTGGAGGAGGAGCAGAGCTCAGCCCAGCTGGCCCTATGGATGTAATGGTTAAAATGTTCACTGGTGATCTACTTCTGGCCAAGGTGGTGGCATAGGTGAAAATACTATACCTCCTTGCACAAGCAAGTTTATAAACAACAAATATTTTAAAAACAGAATGCAACCAAAACAGAGAGAAAATTAAACTGTACCGAAGTCCAATAACAACAAACCATTCATCCAGATTGGTAAGAGGGGTGGAATCAGTGGCTGGCAGAGTAGAGTCGTGGAGGAAAAACCTGACGAACCCAGGCCCCAGGCTGCTGTTGGAGATCCCAGGCATGGGAGACAATGGGCAGACCCAGTGAGGGCTCAAGGTGGCTGGCTGATCACGGTCACACATTCGTGCGCAGATAAACCAGGCAAAGGAGTGAGATAGACTGTACAACCCATGGCCCCAGAGCCAGGAAATAAGCCTAAAAGCACCAATTGGAAAATCTTTTGGGGGTTGAGGTGCGGGGAGAGGCTCCCAGGCACACAGAGAGTTCGTTGGAGAGACCTACAGGGTCCTGGAAAGTGCACAAGCCCACATATCTGGGAACTAGCACCAGAAGAACCCAATTTGCTTGTGGAAAGCAGCAGAGGGGACAGAACTCTGAGAGAGAGCAGAAAAAAACGCCATTGCTTCTTTCTGACCCTGCCCCCACATACAGTGTCAAAACCCAGTGACCTGGGTTGTCCCGCCCTGGTGAACACCTAAGGCTCTGCCCCTCATACATAAGAAGCACAAACAGACCAAAACATTATGGCTCAAGAAGAACAGCTCAAAGCCGCAGAGCCAATACTTCTAAGTCACCAAGAGATGGCCAACCTATTGGATGCATAGTTCAAAACACTGGTGATCAGGATGCTCACAGAACTGGTTGATTTTGGTCACAAATTAGATGAACAAATGAAGGCTTCACTAAGTGAAATGAAGCAAAATGCACAGGGAAACAATAGTGATGAGAAAGAAACTGGGACTCAAATCAATGGAGTAGACCAAAAGGAAGACAAAAATGACCAAACAGAAAACAATGAAGAAACAAGAATTAAAAAAAAAAATGAGGAGAGGCTTAAGAACCTCCAGGACATCTTTAAATGTTCCAACATCTGAATTATAGGGGTACCAGAAGGGGAAGAAGAAGAACAACAAGTGGAAAATTTATTTGAACAAATAATAAAAGAGAACTTCCTCAATCTGGCAAAGAAAATAGACTTCCAGGGAATCCAGGAAGCTCAGAGAGTCCCAAAGAAGTTGGACCCAAGGAGGAACACACCAAGGCACATCATCATTACATTAGCCAAGATTAAAATGAAAGAGAGAATCCTAGAAGCAACAAGAGATAAGGGGACAGTCACCTACAAAGGAGTCCCCATCAGGCTGTCAGTGGATTTCTCAAAAGAGACCATACAGGCAAGAAGGGGCTGGAAAGAAGTATTCCAAGTCATGAAATCCAAAGACCTACATCTAAGACTGCTCTATCCAGCAAAGCTTTCATTTAGAATGGAAGGGCAGATAAAGTGCTTCTCAGATAAGGTCAAGTTAAAGGAGTTTATCATCACCAAGCCCTTATTATATGAAATGTTAAAAGGACTTACCTAAGAAAAAGAAGATAAAAAATATGCACAGTGAAAGGACAGCAAACTCACAGTTATTAACAACCACACCTAAAACAAAAGCAAACTAAGAGGACAGCTAGATCAGGAGTGAACCATAGAAATGAAGATCACATGGAGGGTTAGCAACAGGGGAGTGGAAGGAGGAGGGGGGAAGAAGGTACAGAGACTAAGTAGCATAGACGTTAGGTAGAAAATAGACAGGGGGTAGGACAAGAAAAGTAAGGGAAATATAGTATCTAAAGAACTTGAGACACGTGGACATGAACTAGAGGGGGCAATGGGGGGAGTAGATGTGCAGCACGGAGGGGAATGAAGAGGGGGTAATAGAACAACTATAATGGCATAATCAATAAAACATATTAAAAATTTTTTTAACTGGTGGTGAACAGGAATTCTCTAACAAAAGCAAGGGATAATGAAGCATCAGTCCTTAGGAAATTAGTTGGGAAATGGTAAATAAAAGGACTATGCAATTGGATGGCTGTTGCTGGAGCATCAGTCCTTTGGAGAAAGACAAAGAAGAGTTAAGAGGGATTATTGCAAGGCAAAGGTTAAGTGTGAGCCAGAAAAGTTTTTTTCATACTACTTCAGGTTGTTTTTATTTCTAGAACAATAGAGCAGACAAAACTGAGATTTGGGTCAAGGATGTAATTCTAGAAGTAGCAGGACACAGAGGAGATTGAACTTTCCACTCCAATGGGCCCTCTCAGCCAGAGCAGGGCCCTGATGGGGAGATCAGGGACCCTGAGATAGGGGCCTCTGGGCCAAAGCACTCAACAATGTTTATTCCCAGCACAGCTACTTAACTCCAACTCTGACCTCTCCAAACCAAAGGGAATACAAAAAAGAGAAAGTAGATCTTACACACGACTGGGTCTCAGTATTACTTGAAAAGAAAATGTAAAAGTGTCAAAAATAACCGTAGGTGAAACAGAAGAACGACCAAATCCTAGTGCAAAGTTTTCCACATGGCACTTTCCCACCCTCACTCAGGCACAAGGCACAGGGCAGCTACCAGAGGGGCTGAGAGCTACACCACCACCAATATTGAGTCCACCCTAACTCTGAAATACTGCACAGTGTCCTGGAGACCAGAGCACAGACCATAGGAGAAGGCTTCAGAGTAAATCTGCGCAAAGGTGGGCACAGAATCCCATAATCTGTGACTATGTTACCTTTCCTGGCAAAAGGATCTGGTCATGGTGATTGAGAAATGAAATTGGGACGTGATCCAGGATTTTCCAAGTGGAGCCAATGTACTCACAGATCCTGTTAAGTGAGAGGGGAGGTAGATGAGCCAGAGAAGGAGGTGTGATGACAGGGGCAGAGCTCAGAGTGCTGTGGGGCCTCAGCAGAGGGTGTGGGCAGCCTCTAGGGCTGCAAAGGCAAGGACCCGGATTCTCCCCTAGAGCCCCAGGGGCAGCCCAGTCCTGCCAACCCACTGCAGACCTCTGACCTCTAGAGCTGGAGATAATAACCCTGTGTTGTTTAAGGGACTGAATGTGTGGTGATTTGCTGTAGCAGCCACAGGAAGCTGATGCAAGGAAGCCGGAATGTTATAAAGGGACAGAAGAGATTGAAGAGACAGGTTCTCAACTTCCACTGAGAAAAGGCAAGAACATAACAGAAAAAACATGTTGGGCAACTGCATGTTAACTGGAAATAGAAATAGCAGAGATGGGAAATTTAGAATGCTAAAGACAAAAAAGAACAAAAACTGAGGACTCAAAACAATGTTCTCTTTATCGAAACCAACCATCCACCATAAATCCGCATCAATATATGTGGATTTTGCTATATTGACAGAAGAGAGGTTCATTCATCTAGAAACACCTCAGTACCATAAACATGACCAAAAAGAGGTGCATTGTTGTGCCACACCCACTGGCCCAGGACAGCAGCGGCCTGAATCCTCAGATGCTGGTGTAGACTGTGACACCCCAGGGCAGAGGGTCACATATGTACCTTGCACTTTGCTTCAGCCAGTCAACCCAGACAACCCAAAACCATTCCCAGGTTAGTACTCAGCAGTGCGCGGGCCAGGCCCACTGGGGGAACACGGAGGTAACAGCCTGCTTGAGACACGCGAGAGATGGAGACTCACAAGCAAACCCAAGGAGGTGCAGGGAAGATGGCAGAGACTCATCTCTCCTGCTTCCTGTTCAGTTCTCCTCTGACCCCTGGAGATAACACCAGGTTCGGGCACAGGAGGACTGGGGGGATGGAAGAAAGGGCACACTGGCTGGGGACCCGAGGATGGGGAAGAAACTCGGCATTCAGGCATCGGAGGTGGCACTATCCTCACACCCCAGCCCAGAGTGCAACCCAGCTGTGGCAGTTAAAAGTCTAAAATCAACAATCTGTGTTACTGTCTCCAAAAACAAGCAAAGGGGGTGCAAAATCCACCCAAAGCAAGCAGCAGGAAGGAAATTATAAAGAAGGCAAATATCAATGAAATTGAAAATAGAGAAACTCACTGAAACAATAAGTGGGTTCTGTGAAGAGATCCATAAATTGAAAATTTTCTACCAAAACTGATGAAGGGAAAAAAAGGAATGACACATTTTGATACCAGCAGGGAAATGGGATGGCACCGCCGACCCGCAGACATCAGCGGTGTAATGAGGGAGCATCTGAGCAACTCTGCAGGCCGACGGGGGTGATGGCTGCTGGTCCATTGTCCCAATCAGGGGGAAAGGAGGCCTGTGCTGTGAGCACCCATGGTCACTTGGACTTGACCTGAGTCAAACTCCACGTCCCAGGGCTCACTTCTTTTTACAGAGCAGCAGTTCAGGAATTTGTGGGTGACCTTACTGATGCGGATGGAAAAGTCTAGGATGGAACAGAGACCAGGAGGAGGTTGGAGAGAGCAGGGAGGAGGGAGGGGCTGGCGTGGACAGTGGACACAGGGACTGCTAGGAGAAGAAAGGGACAGGCAGGACACTGTGAACACACCACATCTGTCCCTCACTCTTTCTTCTTTTAATGTATATTGCTGTGAAAAGATCTATAAATATATGTGCCGAATGCTTACCAGTGGTGACTCTTTTAGTGGGGTGTTCGTGGAAGGGGATCTCCCTCTAAAATTCTACTTTCTATCAATAAACTTCAAGTTTTTTCTATAATAAGCACTAATTACTATTTATAACAGTAAAATTTAAATGGAGCTGGGTGAATTGGAGTGGATGCCTCTCTCTGGACTTTACCTTTGTCCTTCTGGTTAGCAGGGGCCTCCAGGGTGAGGTTCCTGCTGACGGCCGGCTGCCCGTCGTGCTGCACCAGACAGGTGAGCTCCACGGCCTCCCCGTGGGCAGAGGAGTTCACCAGGATCCAGCTCCCCCAGGTGAAAGTCCCATCCTTGTTCTCTGTGAGGGTTGAGGGCGTTTCTGTTTGGGACATGTTTCCGTTCTCCAACCAGGTCAGCTGTAGGTGCTGGGGGTAGAAGTTCTTCACCTGGCAGATGATGATGGTCCCCTGTTTCTCTGACACGGTGTGTTGTGAAATGTCCAACGTGGGCGAAACTGAAACAGCACAGGGCAGAGGGTCTGGCCTCACGCACACACACATCTCAGAGGATGACTCTGTAACTTAGCTCCCCCACCACAGCAAGGGGTCACCCGGGAGAGTGCTAGGTAAGCAGCAGGTGCTCTGACACTGAGGGTTCACCTTCAGTATGAATGACATCACTAGACATAGTGCCTGCACACAGTAGGTGCTCAGGACTGGCAACTGCTAGTAGGGTAATATGATTGAAATCAAAACTAGCACAGCCCTGGATGCAGTAGGGATATAATAACTGTAGCAAAATAAGTGAAATCACCAACCATATAAAGGCCAGGTTTATAGTAGGTGCTCAATAATTGGAGTTGCCCTTGGTAAAGTAGTAGAAACTACCAAGTACAATTAATTGTAGGTGTTCCCCTGGTAACTACCATTAAACAGTGTTGAGTGACAGACTCATCCAGGTGTTTGGTGATGGGAAGGACTATTGGGAATTAGATTCCAAGAAAATTAAGTCAGAGCAAATGGCAGGGGGAGGAGCAGGCTTGGTGGGTGGGAGCCATGTGTGGGCTCGGGCTGGGTGCGAGGGCATCTACCTCGGATGATCTCAGACAGGTTGGCAGTCCCACGAAGAGGAGGGCCCCCCTTCAGGGTGACGTGTTCCACCTGGCAGATGACCTGGGAGCGGACATCCCCCCGGGCCAGCCGCACCGAGGCTGTGCTGGAGATGTTGTAGGGAGGGCTGTCTCCCTCTGGGTCCACGGTGGTCTGGGAGGCTGGGAGCTCGTTCCCATCTTTGAACCATCTCAGGATGATGCTCCTTGGGGAGAAGCCGTGGGACTCGCAGGTGAAGCTCACTGTCTGCCCAGGTGTGGCCCTCTCCGTGGGGGCTGACACCACGGGGGGAGAGGGTTGGGCTTTAAAAGGAGACAATGAAAAATGAACATGACTGTGATCATCACCACCAATGACAAGTATTTGTGTAACAATCCTCATACATTGTTTTTATCCTCTAACGATGCTATGTCATCCTCCTCATCATACATAGCAGGACACTTGGGTCCCCAGAGGTGAACTCTGGGTGAGGGGCAGGGCCCACAAGCAGCTCCAGGCCTGAGTTCAAAGGGCACCTTCCTTCGTCCCCAGGTGACCTCCCACCTGTCTGGGCTCCGGAACAACTGTACTGAGCTCTCTCCCTGTTCCTATTAACTCTCCTCTCTGGCCTCCCTACACCTTCCCGACCTCACAGACGGTGTTCACTGAGTAAATTCCGGAAAAGCTGTGGGGACCCGGACCCCATGGAGGGGAACCAGGCTGGCAGGCACAGAGAGGTGCGGCCAGGGCACATCCCAGCTCCGTCTGTGAGAGGGGACAGGAAGCATTTCTCCTTCTCTGGCTGCAGGGAGGGTTAAATCAGGCAATGGAAGTTGTTCTGCTTTGAGTGAAACAAAAGATGCTTCACAAAAGTGAATAAACACAGATCCATCTTGAACCTAGACTTCATTTATATCCGGAACTCTCCCTTCAAGCACTACTAAGTTTACTCCAATATTTTCATTATTGAAACAAATATTCCACTAGGGGCGAATCTGTGTCAATCGCTCAATTTCAAGGGATGGGTTTGCGATGATTTTCTGATTTTGAGTTATTCTCCTGAATAAGTTTTGGCTTCAAAAAGCATGGTGCTGAGAGAGTCAAGGTGGTTAATTTCCCAATCTTTACGAAATGAGAAGAGCCGCCGTAACAGGCCCGAGAAGCAAGCAGACTCCCCGGGTCCTGAAAGGATCCCCACTGATTCCAAGGATCATTGAATCTAAGACAATAGCAGTTCTCCCTGTAGAAAAGGCTCTGCAGGGTGTCTCGAAATTGTTAGTTATCACCCAACACCATCTCTAACAGGGGGCACACATCAAATATGAAAAAAACATGAGCATTTGTAAATATCTACCTTGCTTCCTAAAACTCATCAGACATTTTGAGGACATAGGTAAAGGGGCGTCACTTGAGTAAGTCAAGTCATAAAAACACCAGCCGCTTGGATGTCACTGGGGGAATGGACACTGGAGCCTCTTGGGCTCCTGACCATGGGCTGAGGCCTCTGTGACCCTCAGCTACTCACCCTCCCACGGCCCTGCAGGCCAACCCTGGGTGGACTCACTTGTGGGAGGAGGCTGAGAGGGGAACCCGGCTGGCCAAGGGCACACGGGGAGCAAAGGGAAGAGCTCATCTCTCTGCACTCGGGTTAATTTTAGCATCTGTGTTCTTTATCCTTGAGCCTCGGTGTCTGTTTCTGCACAAGGTGGATGGAGACACCACCAGGCAGGGGGAGTGAGGAGGTGTGTATAACACAGAGACCGGCATGTGGAAGGTGCTTAATAAATAACTCGCATGACTGTTAGTGTAAGTCTGGTCTTTCTGTTTCTGACACTGCTGATTTGTTCTGTAGTCGGTAGGAAGGAAGAATAAACGCATAACAGAAACGCCAAGGAAAGTCTCAAATCCACTTGTTGCAGCTGCTCTGCAAACACCCAGATGAAAATAAAAGCAAAGAAACCACCAAATTAGGGTTCTTTTTTAAAAAATGATCCCCTCAGCAAACAAGTTTGATGAATTGATTTTTTAAACACGCAATAGGTCACAGGCATTTCCCTGCATATCAGCTGTTTACAGAAGCTGGAAGCATTTTGAAAGAGGAGAGCAGATTTCAGAACTGACAAGCTTGTGTACTGGGGCGGGAAGGGCTCTGAGCAGTGTTTGTGGGGTTTCAAACCCAATTCAGGCACAAACTGGTTTGAAGATGGGAAGTGTCCCCAGCCATGGAGCTCGGATCTGACAGGGTGTCTGGGCTGCCTCTCCCCAAGGCTGTCATCACAGGCCTGCTCTGCGGGAAGGTGTCCCTACCACCTCACCTGGGCTTACTTTCTTGGGCCTCTGATGAGCTGTCTCTGGCACATGAGATTCTGAAGCACCAACACCACCCAAAGGTGTTGTTCTCACAGCCCAGCAGCAGGGGGAGCCACCTTTGTCAGGGGAAAGAACGTGAGGTTTCCTCTGTGACCTCAGAGAACATTTAGCTCAGGGCTCTCTGTCTCTGGATAGTGAAGAACTGCAGCTGCCAGGCCCCCGTCTGACAGTTAAATCAGAATTCCCAGGGTGGAGCCAGGGTCTGGGGACCTTTGCAACGACTCCCAGGTGATTCCAATGACAGGCAAGGTTGAAAGGCACAAAACTCCACCTCCAACCCCACTGTATTGAGACTTGGGAAGGAAGGTGTCCTGTTGAAGGTCCTGTGTCTTTGGCCTGTCATAGCCCACACTCACTGAACATCTGCTACGTGTCAGGCGCTGCTCTGAGCACTTCGCATGTGTTCACTCACTCAGGCCTTGGAGCTGCTCTGAGGTTGGTGCCGTCACTGACAGGTGAGGACACCAGGCACAGGGTGGGGAGTGATGCGTCAGAGGTCACAGGCCAGGAAGTGGCAGAGCTGGGGTGTGGGCCCAGGAAGAGGACTAGGCCCATGAGCTCACGTGCTGGGTGCTGACACCCAGTAACATCCTGACCCACCCACTGGGGGCTTTCTAGACACCCCCTCCTGTCCTCACAGACCCCTGAGTGGGAATTGGGATTATCGCCCCTGTACAGGGACACTGAGGACCCCAGGGACACTGAGACTTGCCCAAGAGCACCCAGCAGTGGGGTGACGCCATCACTCACCGAGGCTCTGCCCTCTCACCAGGCTCCCTGTAGCCTGAGTCCTTCCTGCAGAGGGTGGGGAGAGCGTCCACTGTCTGCAGGTGAGGACACAGGGGCCCAGCAGGACAGAGTGGGCCACGCCGTGAAATAACACTTGATTTGGGGAGTGACTCTGTGCTGGGAGATTCAGACAGAGCACCTGAAATCCTTCCACTCTCCAAAGGAGTCCATGATTGTCACCATCTTACAGAGGAGCAAAGGGAGGCTGAGAGAGATGAAGAAGCTGTCCCTCATCCAGTACTAGGTCCTGGGGGTATTTGCTGTGGTCCCAAATTCATGTCTGTTCACACAGGTTCCAATAAAGCTTCCTCCTCCTTTTTTCTCTGTGAGAATTTTGACGTTAAGGAGTAATGGGGAGGAGTCAACTCCATGTGACCAGGCCTTGAGACCCTCTCACAATAAACAAAAGACATGGTCTCCTGCAAAATGAGTCTAGAATGTGAACTTGGCTCATGCAGGGCCCCAACCGGCCTCAAGGAAATGGTTGCCCCTCCTTATTCTGAGTCTGTAGGTCCAGGATTGTTATTCAAGGTGTTTCTGGGGGTGCCTTGGCCCCTCTCTGCTCTGTCAAGGCCGCTGTCCCCAGGCTGCTCCTGCAGGTGCTCAGAGAAGGACAAAGAGCACAACGACAAAGGGGAAAAGCCTCCTGGATGCTCCTGTGTGCTGAGCCCTGTCACTAGGAGCAGAGTCACCACACGGTGAGACTTTGTGTACCTGTCCGATCTGGGTTGTAAAGCTGTCCCACCCACCCCACAGAACCTGATAAAAAGTGCTTACTGCTGAAGACAAAACAATATAAGTTTTAAAGGGGAGGTTTGGAGCTTTCTGCACACTTTGACAAGCACTCAGGTTGGGGAAGGTAACGGGGTGGCAAACACCAGGGGCTGTGAGTCAGGCTGTTTGGGGTCAATCATGGCTTCCCTCCATGCTCACAAGTCAGGTCCCCTCCCTGAGCCTCAGAGTCTTCATCAGGCAACAGTAACCTCTGCCACAGCACCGGTTATCAGAGTCAATGTCATGAGGAAGGTAAGGCACCTAGAAAGCTGCTGCTCCCGCCCCCTCCCGCCTCCCTGCCTTCTCACCCAGGGCGTCCTCTGGGCAGGCGGCTTGGAGAAGAGGAGCCAGGACTTTACCAGGAGACAGCAGACCTGAGATGGAGCCACACACTGTCTGTGATTGCCTCGGCAAGGGACAGATTATTAGGAGCTACTATAATATTAGAAATTCAGGATAAAGCCACCTTCCCTGGCAATGTTCAGGGGTTGTAAAGAGACTCCGTTGCTACCGCATCAAGGAGAAAAATGGGCAATATTCACACAAACTGAAATCACATACCCTGTGACCCAACACTGCCACTTCCAGTGGGCATCTCCCTCTAGAGCAAGTGACACACGCATTAGGTTCTCCTCTGCATCACTGTTCTAATAGCCAGAGGCTGGGAACAACGTATATCCATCAACACAGTGCCAATAAATGATGCTGTCTCCATACACTGGAGGATGAGGCAGCTGTTGAAGGAGGGGCAGCTCTAGGTGCTGATGTGGGTGCTTGATTTGGGGGGATGAGGCTGAAGGGTCAAGTGAATGTCAGTGACCGTGGACTTCAGAGTCTGAATCCGAGGGGCACCTGAACTTTTGAGAGAACAATGAAAAGAATATTCTGGCTCTTTGTTCAATGGTTTGGTGTAATAACCTTTTAGTCAGCTCCTATTATGTGCCAAGTCTTCCATGGAAAGAGGGTCTTATGGTAGGACAGGAAGGAATGTGTCTTGGACTCAGACTGGGCTCTGGGATGATGCCTTCATGCACTTGCCATGTGACCAAAGGCAAAACCACTGTCACCTCTTGGCCACAGATCCCTTGTTTACATGGGGCATCGGGCAGGCTGGGCTAACAGGGCTTTGTGTTCAGACATCCTTGGACTCAGGATCCCAGGTCTCTGGCAGAAAACCCTAAGTGAACATTTTCTGGGTCTTAATGGGGTGACCTTGAAGGCACCCACATTCCGAACCCTCTCCCAGAGTGACGAACAGTCTGACAAAACTCTGCTCAGGGTCTAAGTAACAGTGTGACCGGGTCCCTGAAATAAATGTATGCTGGGCCTTTCCCTGTGACGCTGGGCTGCCCAGCTGAGCCTAGAGGCTCAGACAGACCCACGGTGAGCGCCCAAACTCTGGCACCTCCTCCCAGCAGGGCTGGCAGAGTGAACAGGAGTCTGTGCCCCTTGGGAATGTCTTCTCATGTGATGCTTCTGAGGAGGAAATAAAGGAACATGTCCCCCCTCCCTGCCCTGCATGGATCTCCCCCAACTGCAGGGAGGAGAACGAAGCTCCGTGGGGAAGAGCTCTGCCTGCTCGGTCCCCTGCAGCTCCCACAGCACCCAGAGGGGAGCCCGGCTCCCAGCGGGTGTCAGTGAGTGTCAGTGAGGGGGGCTCGGCCACACTGAGGGGAGGGCTCTCTGGAGGCAGGGGTGAGTTCTGACCTCATGACGGGCAAGTCCCTCAGACCTTCAGTTCCCTCATCCCTGAAACCAAAGGGCTGGATGGGATTGGAGAAGGCAAGGGTAGAGAGGGTGGTCAAGCAAATGAGGGTTTCCAGAATTTTCCCAGCATTTACCTGCCATGGACCCTAAGAAAATAGCAGGACCTTCTCAGGTCTCAGTTTCCCTGACCTGCAGAAGGGGTAACTTCAGACCAGGAATCAGACCCTGACTATATGCGCCCACGATGACACCTGATTCCTAGTTGCTGCTCAAAGAACAGAGGTTGTTCTCATAGACTTGTTGCCACACAGCAGGGACAAAGTGTCCCACTCTGTACTCACCACTCACAGTGAGCCGAGTGCCTGCTCCAGACTTGAACTCCGTGTCAGGGGTTCCTCTGCGGAACTTCACACAGTAGTAGGTACCCGTGTCTGCTGGGGTGATGTCAATGATGCGGATGGAAAAGTCTGTGTTGTTTATCCTTGTGGTGTCTGCAGCACTTGTTACTCGGGGAGAGTGGCTTTCTTTTTGACTGTAGACTAACTCCCGGCCTGGCCCTGTCCCCCTGAACCACATGAAGGGCCCCACTGGGAAAATGGAGGTCACGGTGCAGTTCAGAGTGGCTGTCTCTCCAGCTGCCACTGCCACTGTCTTGTCTCGCTGAATCACCTGCAGCTCCTCACCTGCCCCTCCTGGAGGGAAACACAGAGCAGTTATTTATCCATCCATGTGTGATCGTGTGGGTTTTGTTAGGTGTTTATCGACAACAGCTTTCATGGACTGAGTGCACACCCTGAGTGGGCCTGAGCTCAGCACATTATATATGTCATACATGTAACAGTCACAACAAGCCTGTAATGTGAGACCCTATTGGGAATGAGGAAACTGAAGCACCGAGAGGTAAAGTGATGGGGCAGAGTGGGTTTAAATCTTTCCCCGCCAAGCAGTCCTGCTCGGTGCCCACACTGGAGGATGTGTGCTGGGCCTTTCCCTGAGACACTGGGCCGCCCGGCTGAGCCTAGTGGCTGCTGGTGGTGTGACCTATGCAGCCTGAGGAGGAGGAGTGTGTCCGTTAGTCCATCTGCTCCTGAGACACCAGCTCAGCCATGGCTGATCTTGTAATGATGGCGAAATTAGCTGATAAAAACCCGTTGAATTTTTACCCCAATTTCAACTTCAACATCTCTCGTGAAGGGGACTGTGCTGCTGAACCTGAGCCTCAAGTAGGAATTGATGTAAAGAAGGGACGTTTTCTAGGTGACGTTTCAATTTCAGAATTCTTTCAGATTATGAAAAGAAAGTTTACAAAAAAATAAGAAATAATGAGAAGCTCTAAGGATGAACACACTCAGCTAGACTTGTTTTACAGGGACGGGGCCCTGAAAGAAAGCCTCGTAGTTGGGTTGTTTGTCTTCCTGAAGTGGAGTTGTACGAGTTCTTTATATACTTTGGAGATCAAACCCTTGTCCGACCTATCATTGGCAAATATGTTTTCCTACACAGTTGGTTCCCTTTCATTTTACTGTTGTCTTTAGTCGTGCAGAAGCTTTTATTTTGAAGATCCATTTATTTGTCCTTTCCTTTATGTCCCTGGCTCCAGGGGACATATCAGTGAAAATATTGCTGTGTGACCACAACGGCATGGGTGGAAATGGTCAAATAAGCAGAGAGGGAAAGACAAACACCATATGATCTGACCTATACGTGGAACCTAATCAACACAACAAACAAGCAATCAAAATATAAGCAGAGACATTGAAATAAAGAACAAACTGACAATAGCCAGAAGGAAGGGGGCAGAGGGATAAAATGGAGAAAATAAGGGAAGGGCCATTGAGGAGCATGTGTAAAGGACACATGGACAAAGCCAAAGGGGGTGGGGGGAGGGGGTGGGTGAAGTGGGGGTGTGGCATGGTAGGATGAAAATGGAGACAACTGTACTTGGGCAATAATAATAAAAAATGAAAAAAGACCCTCATAAAAGCCATGGGTACTTGGACTGGAATTTGAACTGCAATGGCTTACGTTTGCTATGTCCCCGTTAACCCTGGATGTAGGCCAGGCTTATAAAGAGACACAGTGACTCTGGAGGGAGAAGAAGAAAAGAAAAGGAGGTTGAAGAACAGAAAACAATGAGGACCATTTGTTGCAGTGACTCTTAGGAAACCATCAATGATTGTATCACCTGCTGTTCCCGTGGCCCCTGAAGATCCTTCATTTACGGACTGTTGTTGTTGCCTCCCAGAAGAAAGTTTGGTATGAAATGGTATAAAGTAACCATATGACAACAAAGAAGAGTGAAACCTGTTTTGTATTATTCTGTATTCAATAAAAAGTTAATGCCTGATGCAATCAAATTTTATTTCACAAAAGTTTGAAAAAGAAAAACACAACTTTTTCTATTAAAAAAGTGTACTCCCATACTTAGCCAGTGTTGCTCAGTTGGTTGTAGCATCAACCCATAGCCCAAGGGTCGCGGGTTTGATTTCTAGTCAGGGCACAGACCTAGGCTGTAGGTTTGACCCCCATCTGAATGCGTCCAATCCCCTACCCATCCTGGTGCAGGTACAGGGTCTGGGTGCGTGGAGAGAGAACCAACTGATGCTTCTCTCGCATCGATGTTTTTCTCTCTATTCCCTTCTTCCTTCCTTTCTCTTTCTAAAAAACCAAATGAAGAAAAAAAAGGCCTGGGGTGAGGATAAAAAAAATACTCCCAGTTCAGTGTAGCATAGTAGAAGTCAAGTTTACCTTTTCTTCCTCCCCATATCTCACTGAACTGACAGGAGAAATAGCAAAGAGAGGCTGAATCTTCAGTGATACAGGATACCCCATTGTATTGCACGGGGCTTCACTGGGCGTCACTTCGTTGCACTTCACAGGTGTTGTGTATTTTACAAATGAAAGGCAAGAAGGCCGTGTACCAGCAGAAATACAGCTCACTGTGTCTCTAAACTGTATTCACCGTATCTCTGAGGCAGCCTGCACGTGCTTATTGCAGAAAAGAACAGAAAATGAAATTGCAACAAAGAAACATTTAAATTTTGTCTTTAAGACAAACGATATCAGAGATACTATTTCTAAAATCTTTTTCTCAGCAAATGAATTCATATTAATGTACTTGGCTTTTTAATGGAAAATGGTAACATGATTGTATAAGTTTTTTCTCTTAACTGCACATCTACGGTTCAGAAATAATTCTGTGGCATAACTTTCACTGGCTCTAAGATTTCCATTTCATGGCTAATATCAGTTAATGCTTCTGACCAGAGGTAAGTGTTCAATATAACTGACTTAAATAACCAAGCACATTTATTATCTCACACAACACGCAGCTCAGATGCGTCACTAAACAAACTTTTTTTCCCTCAGCTTCAGTTTATTTTGCCTTAGGCTTGTCTCATGGTCCCAATGGTATAATTTCCATCCCAATGGTATGCTTTGAAGAAATAAAAAGCCTATTTAGAAGTTCATAGATAATCTCAAGGGGTCTCAATTAATGAAGCAATCTTGAAAAAAGAATGTCCTACCTCCTGATTTTAAAACTTACTACAAAACTAATCAGTGTTGCCCCATCGTTAGAGTAGATGGAGAGACCCATGAAATAGAATAGAGCCCAGGAACCAGCCCTCACAGAGATGCCCACATAATCATCCACAAGGAGGCCAAGGTCATTTAATGGGGAAAAGGCAGTGTTTCAACAAATGGTGGTGGGCAACTGGATATACATATGCAAAAGAATGGAGTTTGATTTTATCTCATTTTTTAAACAAAAATGAACAACATGAATACAAACCCTAAATACCAGAGCTAAAACTTTAATATTCTTAGGAAAAAAGCCATAGGTGAATCTCTTCATGGCTTTGGATTTGACAATGGTTTCTTGCCCATGACACCAAAACCACAGATGACGAAGAAAACAAACAAAGTCCCTCAGAGGAGGAGGCAGCTGAGGCACCACCGACAAACCCTGTGTTCTGCTCTGTTCCTCAGCTTCCCCTCAGGGAGAGAGTCTGTGGGTCACCTTTGCAGAGTGTGAGCTGGTGAGCCCCTCCCACTCAGCACTGTGTGTGACCACAGCCCCCAAGGAGGCCACGTGCTGTCACAGGGCGGGTCCTTTCATGCCAAGAACAGGAGACTGACTGAATTTGAAGTCAGGAGAAGGATGGGGACAGGGAAGGGGAATGGCTGAGACCAAAATGGGAGAAACAGGAGTGAATCTTGGAGGGAGAAGTGGAGGGAAGGAGGAGGAAGAGAGGAGACGTCAGAGTGTGGAGAGGAGCGGGAATGACACACTGTGCGTCTGTGCTTCTGTAAACCTCCCGCCGCACCCGTGACCCAGGCCTTTCCCTGAACTCCACACTATGTCCAACCGCCCATACTACGCGTTCCGTCTCTGGGAACAAACACCTCACAGTTAACGTGTCCAGAGTGAACTCCTGCATTTCCCCCACAGCTCTCGGTTTCTCACCTGAGCACCATTGTTCTTCCAGATGCTCACATCACCAACACGTGGAGTCTTGCTCTCCCACCTGAACCCTGTGCATCAGAAACCCTGTGGCTGCACTTCCTCCTGCACCCAACTCTCCAGCTTCCCCCATCTCTACTGTGCTGGTACCAGTCACTTATTTGCATGATTGCTCTGTAACTTCTCTCTCCGTCCTGTTGGAGTCTATTCTCAGCCAAATGCTATGATAATTTAAAACTTATGTCAGACTAGATCGCTTCTTTCTTCAAAACCTTGTACAAAGCAGGAAGCTTCTGCTCTTGTGGCCTTTGCACATGTTGTTCCCTGACAGGAAGGCTCTTCTCCCAGATGACACCGTGGCTCACTCTCAACCTGCTGTTAATCTGGCTCAAACTTCTTTTTCTCAAAGATGCTCAGCCAGACTACACGGTTTAAAATTCATTGCACTTTAGAGATTCCCCCAATTCTCCTATTTAATAATAATTTCATCCTCAAACTTACTTTCTAATGCTCTATATTATCTATTTTTATTCTGTCTATTGTTTACAGTCATTTCCCCACTGGAATATAAGCTCCATGAGGGCAGCTACCTTGTATATTTTATTCACCAGCACACCCTGAGTTCCCGTAATGTTCCTGATACATTGTATGTATTCAATAAATATTTGAATTATGCCCAGTCAGACTCTCCCGGAAATCTTGAAGCCTATTTAAGTCAGCAAATCTATAGAATTTATGTCAGAAACTGAGTTTCCCAACTAGAACATGTGGTGTAAAACAAGCATCTGGTGCATGTGCAGGAAGAGGAATAACCCAGGAGCAGAGAACCACAAACCTCCCCCCAACACCCACCCCTCCCACGCCCACTGGTCCAATGGAACAAATCTCATGGGATGGATGTGGCAAAACAGGGGAACTCATGAGTTCCAGGATGAGACTGTTTGAGTTCAAATAGCAGATAAATCGCCTACCGTTGAGTGACCTTAAACCTCTCTGTGCTTCTCTGTTCTCCTCTGTAGGTACAGGTGACAAGAGGACCTGCCTTGGATATAAGGATCACGACAGAGAGAAGATGCAGGGATTTTCAACATATCTGGGAGCGGTGAGTGTTCAAGCAATTGAAAAGGTGTTATCATCCCACTTCCTGGAGCTGTGATGCCTCATCTGACATTAGAGGTTTTAGATGTAGATATGGATATCGATATAGATGTAATATAGACATACTGATATTGATATTGATATAATTGTAGATACAGACCATACAGGGAGGCATCTCTGTACCTTTTATCCACTTCTTTCCACTCACTCCCATCCCTCATAAAAGAAGGAATCCAATGTAATCACGCACACTTCTACTCATTTTACCAATAGAGAGGCTTGCTTGTCTTAAGGGTTTGGGGAAGGTAAAGGGTAAGTTTGTGGAAGTAGAAAGGAAGGAGGCGATGGGGAGAACCAAACATCTGTTCACGAACATTTCCTATAGACTGAGAGGGGTTTGAATTAAACAGTAAGAAAAGACTTTTCAAAAATCTCATGTGTCTGTGTGCATGCACTTACACCAATTGTACACACAAACACACATGGGTACATGTGTCACTAATATATATGAAAGTGTGGCTTCACATTCTAGTCACAGGTTGTTTTGAAGATTAAATGAGACAATTATACATATTAAATGCTGAGAAACACACAGGCACCATGCCACACATCATCAACAACAGTTCCTGAGTAAAGAGCAGAACTTGAACTCTGGGTGTCTGTGTGGCCTGAGGGGAGATGACTGTTCTTCCTCTTTACTCTCTGTGTTTTCTGATTTCTCCGCAATCAGCCTCCACTGAGAGCTGAGCAGCATAACATGGTTAAAAGATGAGCTTTGCAGCTGCTGGGTCTGGACTTGAACCTGGCTGAACCACTGCCTCACATAGGTGATGTTGCAAAGTAACTCCCTCTGCCTCCGTTTCCTCATCTGCAAATCAGGAGTAAAAGTCATAGTTCTCAAGCAGCCATATTGTGAGGATTAGAGGGTTTCATACCCATGAAGCTGTCGCAGTTGTGGTTTGAAGCATCATCTGCTTTGATGCCTCCAGTAAACAAGTGCAGACAATGGATAAGGAAAAAGAGGAAAAGCCCTGATCCCAGATTTCAGGCTCTCAGATGTGAAAGCACTGGGTGATGCACCCTGATTTCCTGGAGGCCCTAAAATTTCTGAGGGTCAGGAAGAGGTCCAGGGGCAGAAAGAGAGGATTCTCCCCCAAGGTGTGCTCACCTGTGAGGCCCAGCAGCAGAGTCAGCAGCAGGCAAGGAGGAGGGCGGAGCCAGGAGGCAGGGACCAGCATCCTGGAGGCCTGAGGAGCCTGCTCTGTCCTAATGTGTGCTGGAGAGCCCGGACTCTGCTCTGTGGGAGGAGAGAGGTCCCACATCACAGGATATAAGAGGAAGTGCCCAGGACAGGGTGCAATGGCTGTGAGACAGTAGCCCGCTTATAGATCTGAGAGTTTCTACTTCCAGATTGTGGAATAGAATGAGGAAGAGAAGGCAAATACAGGGTGAGGAGTTACTCGTGTTCCTTCTCAGAGACACTTGAACAGGCCTGCAGGAAATAGTGCTTCCCCTGCCTGGGGCTTCTGCTTTCCACTGGGCCTCTCATCTCATCTGGGATCTTCACAGTGATGCCCCACCTCAGGCCCAGGATGAGAAGGGTCTGCGTCCAAACTCTCAAGCCATGAGCCTTAAGTTGTGTGGCTCTTGGCCTCATCCACACCAGCCTCACTAGGAGCTACACCAATAGAGGGAGGAAGAGGGTTCACCAGCGTTTGGTCAGCGTTGGGATGGAAGCAGGTCTGGTTCTGAATGACTCCCTGTACCTAACCTTTAGGGGTGGGACTGGGAAAACGTAGCCCAATGCACAGTGCGTTCTGGACCTCAGAACTTGTATGTGCCTCCATCCAACAAAAGAAATAATATCCTGATTTCTTTCAAAAGAGGGAGGGGTTTATGAGACCCAGTGTTTGATTCCCAGGCATTTATCTCGGTGATGAAATTTCTGTTACAACCAAAACCTGTGTGCTAGTGTTTATAGCAGCTTTCTCTGTAATAGCAGCAAAAAATAAAAAATGTCCAATAATAAGTGAACAGTTAATCAAACTGTAATACCTTGTAATGCCTCCATACAAGGACATGCAACAACTTGTAAGTTTCTCAAAGGCATTTTTTGGGTAAATAAGGTAAATCTCAAAATCTCACATCCTGTATGATTCTACTTATAGCACATTCTCAAAACTATGGAATGGAGCAAAGATGGGCATCTGAGAGTTTTGGTACAGTGGGGAAGGGGTCACTGTGAAGGTGAGCACAGGGGACCTCTGTGGTCATGGAATTGCTCTGCATCCTGGTCATGGTGGTGGTGACACAAACACACTCCTGAAGGATCGACATAGCACAACTGAACACGTTACAAGATTTACTTGTAAGTACCAATCTCATAGTCATTGTAATGCAGACACGGACTACTCAGTTATCAATGTCATTAGATTATTAAATTATACTGTAATGGCATTAGGGTGATAGGAGAAATAAGTGTGCATGTGCAGCATGAGGTCAGGAGTAACACATATGTCCCATCTTCCTTAGTGGGACATCCACACATAAACCCTGAAGGTCAGAGATCAAGAACTGCAATAGAAGTACGTTGTATGAGATGTGACAGTAAAATCTAAAATAGTCAGTTCACAGAGTTGAGAACGTTTGCTTCTTGGAAGTAGGAGACAGTGGGTGGCTCGGGAGACTCCAGTTTTCACATGTAGAACTTGTAGAACTTTTCCATTTTTTAAACACGTGCACATGTAACTTTGATCAAGGTAGAAAACAATTCTAGATAATTACTGTCTAAAGTGTTGCAAATAAAAAGTGTACATCCTTTTTAGCACTAGTAAGACTTCCACAAGCTTGGTGGATATAGAGCGATGATTGAAATCAATTACCATCCTAAAGAGTAGTCAAAAAAACACTGAAAATAGTAATTATTACTTTTAAAGATTTCACGAAATTGAAAGTGTTAGACATAGCTCTAAGTTAGAGATGCATAAAACCATTCATGGAAAAAATCATCTAAAATTGCGAATTGAAAGTTATAAATGTAAACCTATGTAGATGCTCATCTTACAACAGAAAACTACAGAGCATGGAAAATTGGCAACACAGAGCGACAATGATCAACATCAGGAAAACACACAAAACTGGGTTGAGCATAAAAATAAAGCTATGGAATGTTGTATAAAGTAGAATAGCTCTTAAATAAAATTAAAAACAAGCAAAATAATGTTAAAGATTGCTTAAATATCTACACATAAATTGTAAAAGCGTATTATACTTGAGTACAGTAGCAGCAAATTGAGAACGTATTTTGCAAAATGAACACAAATCATAAGGCTAAATGTAAGCATTTTGCAAAGATAGGATGGTGAGTCCATGGGATTTTTTTACATTATCCATTACATAGTTGAGAATACCAAAGTGAGAATATCAGCATAGCGATTTCAAATATCTATGGGTTACAATAGAATCATGCTTGCAGAATCTCTGGATAAAGAGGTTTACTATTCAGAGGAGATTAAAATCTCCTCTGAATATTAAAGGTTGTTTACAATCAGAAAGAATGGAAACCTGTTGCCTTGCTCTGAATGGTTCTTTTTTCTGGGGAGGCAGGACCAGTTTGAAGCTCAGCACATCCAGGTCCAGACATCTCAGAGTCCCCATGACCAAAGTCCATCCTTGACTCATGTTCATTATCAGAGAGCTGGCCCATCAGGAGGGTGTGTGGAGGAGCATGTTTGTGGTTCAGGTGGGGCTGGCAGAGTGAAGGGCCAGGGTCCTGGGTCACCTGAAGGTCCTTGCAGCTTCTTCTCTCCAGTTGATTCCCTTGGAGAAGGCAGGAGACAAGGTATCACAGGGCATGGAAAGATAGAGTGAAACTCATTAATTCATTCATTCACTCCTGTATTAATTGCAAAAATATTTATTGAGCACATGCCAAGTGGCAAGCACTGTGGCCTGGGTTGGTGGCGCAGATCAGAAATCAAGCCCCTACTCAGTTTACCTGAACCCCTCCTCTGAATTCTGCTCCCCCTTTCATACCCACATTCATCTTCACCACTGGTCAGCACCTCTAAATCTCTCATGTTGTATTCATTAATTTTGGTTGTGCTTTTCTATTCATACCAAAGATGTGTTAAATGAAGATGAAATATACAACAGTTTATGGAGGACTCTTTTTAGTCTGGGTCACAAAGCTTTGGTTTTCATTCCACATCTCCAAGGTCCCAGGGCACTTAAATTGAAAACCTTCAAACTCTAGGACACAACACACAACACAATGTGGAAGAGTTGGAAGCCTATGAGATTCCAAAGACATTTAGAGAAAATAAAAGCTTCCACAACCTTCTCTTACTGCTGAATCAATCTTGTGGCGATCGTGTGACTATGCAGCCACACCCTGGACATCTCCTGCCAGCCCATGAGTTTTGCCCTGACCTTCCCATTTAAGGACTAAGACCTGCCTCCAACTCACCTGTTACAGGACCACCATCTACAGATGCAGGTGACTATGAAACTTATAACCAGCAGCACCTTGAAGCCCAGGAGGAACACCACAAAAATAATGGCAGGTGTCTGTGGACCTAAACACCAATGGGCAGAAGAAGCATCAAATGGAGCTCTGTGAGTTTAAAGACCTCACAGCACTCAGGAGACAAGGGTGACCCAGCTGCTCACAGAAATGGAGATGAGTGAGCTTCTATGTACCCCCGATAGACTCTATGTGGTATGGCTGCTGTGGACAGTATGAGTTTGGCTGGATGGGAGGATGTGTTTCATGCTACATCATACAGTTGAGCACTGGCTCAGACCCTTGAAATGACACATTCACCTACTGTAAGCATTCCAGGTGGTAGGTCCTATTATTTTTCTTCATAGACACAGGTTACTCAGCTCCCTTGAACATATGACAGTTCTCCAGCCAGGTGGGATACATGCTCTGTGGATAGAATCTCTGCACCAGGCAGGTAATAGCCACCACATTTAAGGTGGGTGGAAACTGGGACACTGACTATGCAGCAGGGACTAACACAGCTCAGAGAAAGCAGACAATTAATGTAGAAAGTGTACTGTGGGAGACACGGAGCTCTTTAAATATGGAGTCATCTGTCAGGGTCTGGTACAGAGGAGGATGTAGGTGTTGGTTAACAGCTGTGTGCCTAAGTAAATGCACAATTAAACGACAGTGTGAATGCATGAGTGAATGTGTGCTGGGATGGATGGATGGATGGATGGATGGATGGATGAGAGGAGAATGAATGGGAATCTGAATGGGACCAAAGACATCCTACTCTTTTCTTTCTTTTCTGATTTGGAATCTGGTCACAGAATGCAACATGAATGAATCTTGAGGTTATTATGCTAAATGAAATAGGCTAGTCACCAAATGGAAAATACTGCATGGTTCTACTTATATACATATCAGGTGGTGGCATACTCAGGGAGACTCTCCTCTGTAGACTCTAAAAGGAACACAACTCTGCCAAACCACTGCAGTCTTCTTACCTCTAGAACTGCAGGATAATAAATTGGTCTTGTGTTAGACCACTAAACATGTGGTCACAGTGCCAGTCAATATGTAATCCAGGGAGTCAGGAACATTTAAATAAGACAGACATAATTAAAGGATCAGGCACAATTAAAGTTCATAACTTGTGCTTTGGTCAAGATGGTGGAATATGTAAATATTGAATATGCACCCTCTTAAGATTACAGCTAAACTACAGAACAACCATCTTATAAAACTGGCTGTATTCTAGTTGAACAGAAGATCTATATACAGGAGAAGCCGCATCTAAACTTGTAGAAGGGACAGAGATGGGGAATGGGCTGATCACACACTCATGATGGTGGTTAAAAATGCCAGGAGCAATTCTCTGCTGCCGAGTCACTCCTGAGGAACAAGGGGCCCCAGAACCACACCAGGCTCCCACCCCAGGACTCCAGTGCCAGATGAGAAGTCCCCAGTACTTCTAGCTGTGAAAACCAGCAGGGTCATGGCTGAGTAGAAAGAAGGATGTTGGAGTCCCAGATATTCCTCTTTTAAAAAAATATTTAAGTATTATTTTATTATTTTTATTGAATTTATTGGGGAGCAGGCACAGGTGGGCCGCACAGCTGAGTCCTCATCATTCTGGGTAACACTGTTAGCTCTACACTTCTGATTCCCTGAGACCCGACCCCATACAACTTGTGGACCAAACCAGGTCATTTTCAATTGTTTTCCTTACAAATGGCCTCTATTGGCTTATGCTCCTGATAGTTCTGAAATTTCTCAAAGGTTGACAAGCCCCCAGCAAGCTGCATCTGCTCTTGGTGTTCCCTGTGACTCTCGCTAAGTGGCCCAGGACAAGCACTAGTGGCAGCCAGCCTCAATATGCAGCCTAGCCTTTCTCAGGCACCATCAACCCCAATACACAAGCAGCCATAGATGGCCCCAGGCAAGTCACAGGCAATTGCAGAAAAACCCCAGAGCCAGGGAACCCAGTGGACACCTTCAGAGAAGCACCACGCAACCATTTTC